ATCGCATATCAGCTCTGTGTGTCAGGCACTGGTCAGGTAAAACTCCGGACACTCATAAAATTGTTATTTACCTGTTCTGTTACCTTGGAGCCAAACTCATTCTTGACAGCCTAACGTTCGCTCTAATACTGTGTAACACGCATTGTGAAATTGTATAATCTTGACTATTGTGATGAGAAAATACAGATATATACACACTGTACATTATCGCATACAAGCCTTCCGTATTTTTGTCATTCCGTAATTTTGATCTACAAACGATACCAAATCGCACAGTTGTGCGGAGAGAAGCGCACAACGGGGCGAACGATTGCTAAATCGCACAGTTGTGCGCACCATGTGTGGACGATGTGCGGACGGGGTGTGAACGATGTATGCACGGTGTGCGCACGCTATTTTTGGTGCGTTGTGCGGTCCCACAACTGAAAGACTCCTCAGTAGTACCATACAATTTCCACTCCTCAGGAGTAACATATTATCCCCCCACCTCCCTCCTCAGGAGTAATATATCAGTCTCCCCTCCTCAGTATTAATATACCAGTCATACATTCTTAGTAGTAACATACAAGTTTCCCCTCCTCAGTAGAAACATACAAGTCTCCCCTCCTCAGTAGTAATATACCAGTCATGCATCCTTAATAGTAACAAACAAGTTTCCACTCCTGGGGAGTATCATATAAGTCTCCCCTCCTCAGTATTATCATATTAGCCTGCTACTCCTCAGTATCATCATTTCAGCCTCCCCTCCGCAGTAGTACATGTAATATACCAGCCACACATCCAAGGTAGTAACAAATGACTCCTCAGTAGTAACATACATGTTTCCACTCCCCAGGAGTAACATATTAGCCTCACCTCTTCAGGAGTAACATATCAGTCTCCCCTCCTCAGTAGTAACCTAACAGTCATACCTCCTCAGTAGTAACATATCAGTCTCCTCTTCTCAGTAGCATCATATCAGCCTCCCTCTCCTCAGTAGTAACATAACAGTCATACCTCCTCAGTAGTAACATACAAGTCTCCACTCCTCAGGAGTATCATATCGGTCTACCCTCCTCAGTGTTATCATATTAGCCTCCTACTCCTCAGTAGCAATATACCAGTCATACATCCACTGTAGTACATTTACGCAACATATGACTCCTCAGAAGAAACATGCTAGTCAATCCGCCTCAGTAGTAACAAATGACTCCTCAGTAGTAACATACAAGTGTCCACTCTTCATGAGTAACAAATCAGCTTCCCCTTCTCAATAGTATCATATAAGCCTCCCCCGCTTCAGTAGTATCATATCAGCCTACCCCTCCTCAGTAGTAATAAACCAGTCATACATCCTCAGTAGTAACATATGACTCCCCAGTGGTAACATACAAGTTTCCACTCCTTAGGAGGAACATATCAGTCTCCCCTCCTCAGTAGTAATAAACAAGTGATACATCCTCAGAAGTAACATACGACTCATCAGTGGTAGCATACAAGTTTCCACTCATCAGGAGTAACAAATCAGCCTCCCCTTCTCAGTAGTAGCATATCAGCCTCCCCCCCTCAGTAGTAATAAACCAGTCATACATCCTCAATAGTCACAAATGACTCCTCAGTGGTAACATATAACTTTCCAGTCCTCAGGAGTAATAAATCAGCCTCCCCTTCTCAGTAGTAACATATCAGCCTCCCACTCCTCAGTAGCAATATACCAGTCATACATCCACTGTAGTACATTTATGTAACATATGACTCCTCAGTAGTACCATACATTTTCCACTCCTCAGGAGTAACATATTATCCCCCCACCTCCATCCTCAGGAGTAATATATCAGTCTACCCTCCTCAGTAGTAATATACCAGTCATACATTCTAAGTAGTAACATACAAGTTTCCACTCCTCATGAGAAACATATCAGTCTCCCCTCCTCAGTAGAAACATACAAGTCTCCACTCCTCAGGAGTAACATATCAGTCTCCCCTTCCTCAGGAGTATCATATTAGCCTCCCATTCCCAAGTAGTAATATACAAGCATTTCCTCCTCAGTAATAACATACTAGTTAGCCTCCTTAGTAGTAAAACATGACTCCTCAGTAGTAACATTCAAGTTTCCACTCCTTAGTAGTAATACATCCTTCCCCCCTCCTCAGTAGTTACATACCAGTCATACCTCCCCAGTAGTAACATACCAGTCTTCACTCATCAGTAGTGATGTATCAGACTCCCGTTCTCAGTAGTAACATATCAGTCATACCTCCTCAGTAGTAACATACCAGTTTACATTCCTTAGTAGTAACATATCAGCCTCCCCTTCTCAGTAGTAACATGCAAGTCATACCCCCTCAGTAGTAAAATACAAGTCTCCACTCTTAGTAGGAACGTTTCAGTCTCCCCCTCCTCCGTAGTAACATACCAGCTTCCACTCCTAAATAGTAATATACCAGTTATACCTCATCCGTAGTTACATACCAGCCATCCCTCAACAGAAGTAACATATCAGTCTCTCCTCCTCAGTAGTAGCATACAAGTTTCCAATCCTCAAGAGTAGCATATAAGTCTCCCCTTCTCAGTAGTATCATATCAGCCTCCAAACTACTCAGTAGTAATATACTAGCTATTCCTCCTTAGTAGTAACACATGTCTTCTCAGTAGTGACATACAAGTCTCCACTCCTCAGGAACAACATATCACTCTCCCCTCCTCAGAAGTATCATATCAGCCTCCCATTCCTCAGTAGTAACGTACCAGTCATACCTTCTCAGTAGTAGCATACAAGTCTCCACTGCTCAGTAGTAACAACCAAGTCTGCACTCCTCATGAGTAACATATCAGTCTCCCCTCCATAGTAGTGATATACTAGTTATTACTTCTTAGTAGTCACACATACATCCTCAGTAGAAACATACAAGTCTCCACTCCTTAGTAGTAATGTACCAGTTATACCTCATCCGTAGTAACATTCCAGCCATCCCTACCCAGTAGTGACATTTCAGTCATACCTCCTCTGTAGTGACATACCAAACATACTTCATCAGTAGTAATATACAAATGTACCAGTCATACCTCCTCAGTAGTGACAAACTAACATCCCTCTCCTCAGTAGTAACATACTATAGTGTTCCCTCCTCAGTAGTAACATACCAGCCTCCACTCTTCAGTAGTAACATACCAGCTTCCCCTCCTTAGTAGTCACATACATGTACCAATCCTTATTCATCAATAGTAACATACAAATATCCACTTCTAAGTAGTAACATACCAATCATACCTCCTCAGTAGTAAAAATGTACATACCAGACACATCGCCTATGTAGTTACATGTCAGCCTCCCCTTCAATAGTAACATACCAGTCTTTATTCTCAGTAGTGACAAAGCAGCCATACCTCCTCAGTAGTTACAAACTAACCCCTTTCTCCTCAGTAATAACATACCAGTGTTCCCTCCTCACGAGTAACCTACAAGTGTTCCCTTCTCACGAGTAACATATATATATATACCAGCCCCCTCTCCTCAGTAGTAACATACCAGCCCCCTCTCCTCGGTAGTAACATACCAGCTNCTCCTCAGTAGTAACATACCAGCCCCCTCTCCTCAGTAGTAACATACCAGCCTCCTCTCCTCAGTAGTAACATACCAGCCCCCTCTCCTCAGTAGTAACATACCAGCCCCCTCTCCTCAGTACAATTGTAATAAAACATCTCCTCTGCAGCCTTATTTGCGTGTGTAATGAAAATCAACAAACATTTAAATGTAAGTTTAACCTGAGTTGGCAGGATATTTAACCTAGGATCTACACTGTATCCATTTCAGTTTCATATTATATGTCTCTACTTTGTATCGTTTTTTTACTATTTCCATTGTTTAACCAACTTATACTCGCAAACAGCAAGCAGCGCAGCTGTACATTTCACTCTTATTTTGTAAGGAGATTTGGCTCTAAATAAAACTGCCACCCAAAGTTCAACGTACAGTGATAGTCAGTCCTATGATGCCGGTAGAGCAGTGGATGGAGTCCTCGCAAGAGATGTAACGGATGGACACTGTTCTCATACAGATTCAGGACACCGTCAAGCTTGGTGGAAGGTCGACCTAGGGCAGTTTTACAGGATACAGGTGGTCAATATTACCTACAGATATAGTCGTAAGTAGTCATATTGGCAACTTTAAATGCATGAGTATTCATTAAGATAAAAAAAATGCTATGTTGTTGGTATTATAGTGACCACATTTGTGCCACTTTGAATATTATGTTTATATTACAATCATGACAATTATGACTAAATGAGCTATCAAGTAAATGCACGACAATATTCATTAACAGGCACATTGCTAGTAGTGCTGAATAATCGCTTCAAATACCAATTGTTGTATTTGGAAAAGAAGTCGGGAATGAAATGTGCATAACCAAACACTTTTGAAATTAGAATTGCTTTAAAATCCCCAGCATATACCATTATATAACCAAGGACATTTATAAAGCTATAACTCGAATTACTGACATACGTGGAGGCTCCTGATTAAAAGCGAGACATACATGCCTAATCAATATATTAATACCTATAGATGAGATTTTGTGGCTATATCTGTAAAATAATCCAAGATGTGTGATTCCCGACGGCACGATTTCGCTGATATGTTGAATAATAGCTTATACTTAACTACAAGTTTGAAATAAAGGTTGATACAGGTACTTCCAAAGTTGAGTTAAATTAGCTATAAGTATGCAGGCACGACTGAAAATTATTTGTTTAGGAAAAAAAGGAAGAGTGTTCTTTTTTGGCGCCAAAGTAAAGAGACAATATGTTATAAGTCAACCTCTATAATGTATGACATACAAATATTTTTACTATTCATTTTCACACTAACCGGCTTCCGTTGCAAAGGAACAAATATGGCTAGCTATTCACAATTAATAATAACAAACAAAAGTGTTATTCCGTCAGTTAACACTGACCTATTGAAATGTTTTTTATTGAAATATATGAAATAAATTAGTTACTCGACTTGAGTCCTGTCTAGGTAATCTAGTATGATACATTGCCTAAATTCAATGCTTGGGACATGAGGGGATCGAGTGTTAAAGTCTATAACATAGTGGTAGCCATGTCAGGAAGTACTTTGAATCACGTAACCACTTCATATTGCAAAAGACACCTTTTTTGTGTGTAACACCATTATTGTGTGAAACTGGCTGTATGTGAGTGTGATTTTTGTATTTTAAATAAGGCGAGGTGTGTGGCAGATTTTAATCATACATGTGATTATGGTCGCATTCTAGCTTCACACAACATGACATTTCCTTTTAGCTTAATCGGTAGAGCGGCGGACTCGGTCTCTGCTTTGATCCTAGGTAGAAGCACAGTACTCTCTAATCTAATAGATAACCTTTGTCACTATATTGAAATATTTAAATGAGTTATTTTCTGAAGAAATGATTATATGTAACACATTTAAGATAAAAAAACACACCAGTTTATTAGAAAATTTAGTAAACAAATAAATAAAACAAAAAAGAGAGGGGGGAAAGAAACTAGGACTCGGTGTTACGGATCACGACCAGCCTTTTTTATTTTTGTATATGTTCCTTGTGATAAACTACTATGGATGCAAACTTCATTCAGATGAAATAAGGAAGACGTGTGAGATAAAATATTTGACATATCCTCGTCCTGCATTGTAGCATAGTCAAGAACGAATGTTTTTATTATTTTTATTCGTCACCTGTTGAAGTCATATGTAATGGTCCTCATGTTAGTACGGACGTTCCGTTTTATAGTCCGCTACAATTTTCAGTAATTCAGTTATTCTAATGGACCAATCCGTCTGTACCATATTGTCTAAATTATCGCGGAATCTATGAATGTCACGGACAACGTCAAACTACAAGCTTCTAATTGTTGTAACTTGATCTGGGACAGTCATATGTATAACGACCACTGGCCTAGTGTAAGCAGCAGATAAAGCTAAGATACAATGTCTTATTTAGTCGATCGTTGGGTAAGTGCGTCGTTATCAACATCATCACAGTAGGGAATAACCACGTGTGCAGGCTCACCAGCTGATCGGTATTTGTTTACGTCTGGTTGGGACGAGTAGGTGCATTAACTTCCAACCGGCAAACAGTCAAAGGGAACAAACTCGTACAAACGTTATCCCTTGTAACATTGTTACATTATCCCTATGATAAGGTACTGTGAAAACTTGGGAGGAATGTTTCATCGGGACATAGATCTATACCATATTAATTATGGTAGAGCCATCTCCATTCGTATGTGCTTGGGTGGATCCAGTATGTCTAAACAAGATTATACATGATGTAGAATCGATTTGTCATATTCTTTCTCGATGATTTTAAATATTTTTGGCATCCGGTCAATCAACAAAACAGTTTCATAGAGAAATTTTACAAGTCCGGACGAAATTTTACAAACATTATAAGCAATAGTGATCTAAAAACGGATCCTTATGGGATTTGTGACGATACTTGTGTTCATTCAGACTGCTTGTGGTTTCCTACAATGTACCAACCTTTGCGTTCTGTTCTGTAAGAAGTAATGAATCCATACTAACATTTGGTTTGAGAAAGTGTCTGCCTTCAGCTTCTTTAGCAGATTTTTGTGCGAAACAGTGTCCAATACTTGTTTTTAATCTTAATCACTGCAGTATATTGATATTACCATATAAATAGCGTTTTTTTTTTACAATATGTAATATTCAAAACGAATATTCAGTACACACAACTATATACTTATCAACATGATTAACTAGGATGGCATTAAACAATGTTTCCCTTATGCCATCCCTTCAAATTCTTTACCTTCAAGTGCAAAAACAACATCCATTACTCGGGCCGTGAACCGACGTCGATTGGCGTTAACCTGGCCTTCGATAGATATATAGTTGACCACATTTTCTCCCACCCTTCACAGGTGTTCAATTGTGACGTCATTAAAAAAGTGAACGACGATATTCATACCCCACATGGTGTCTTTGTTTACACCACTGGCGGTGGAGTTGTGACTAAAATAACAGGATGGGAGAAAAATAATCACCCCCTACCTTAAGAGTGTAACAGAGAAATATCCAACCCTCGGGGTGATATTTTTGGTTGTCTAACGCTCGGCAGAGCTTCGGGTTAGACAAACAAAAACATCACCCCTCGGGGTAGAGATTTTTCTGTCACACCTTCAGGGTAGGAGAAGATTATATTAGTCATCCCTAGGGGAAGATACATGTAGCCTCGTGCCGATGAGCACGTGTTCAATTGTGACGTCATAAAATGTGTCACTGCTGTTATTGTGACGTCATCAAAAGTGAATAACGACATGTGTTTTTCACGTTCACAAACTGTCGTAGTATAGCGGTTACAACTATTATCCGCACACAGTTGTCGCACTATAAGAGAAGTCTATAAAACTCCGTTTTTGGTTCCATGCTTTCCTTACTGTTATAACGAGATCTAAAAGATTTTGGATGTCACTTACTCTCCACGTGGTTGGATAACACAGAAGTTCTATAGAAATACAAAACATGACGAATACTGTCAAACCCAGCTAGAGAAAATGTCTCATTTACTGATTTTCAAAAATATTAAACAACGGATCACGGTTTGGAGTATTTTCCGCTTCAAATGAAAAACAACCCTAATGTGTTTATGCTATCAATCTGTTGAATAAGAATGGGTATATCTTTTATAGTTTGAGTTTATGCTTTTTGTCCGAAACACTAGTATATTTTAAAATTACTTCATGTTGAGTTATCGTTAAGGGTAAAAAATCTGATATATTGAGTCCCCCGTCCTGATACAAATACAAACATATACTCACGCATTCCTGCAATAGTTGGGATCTATGTGAGGTGTTTGCAATGTTATTGGATACTTAATCAAGGTACATTACTCGAAATTATATTTCAAAATAAAACTGATAATGATAATATTCCAATAACGCAATCAGATATTTTTGTGCCATGTAGTATCATCGTTCGGTACTAAAAACGTGGATGACAGGTTCGATAGACCACTTTCCCAATTTTACTAGTTTACCTTACCTTCATTTCAAGTAATCGTGTTAAATCTACTAGAATTTATGTTACCGTAAAAACAGATTTTAAAATAGTTTCTTTTTGTGGTTTACATTTAGTATCGTACGATAAACTTATTATGGTAATATCGCATAAAGCGCTTAAGAAGTACACATAATAGCATAGATGCAGAGTCAGAAAGATGTATTAATGGAATGATTCGGAAGGATTCCACTTCATGGAAAACTACTCCAATATTCATTCTACCCGAATCTTATAAATGATACTAGCCATAGCACGGTGGGATTAGTTGTGCATCATATTATGGCTGATGTATACATGTAAGCGTCCCGTTGATGGCGAAAGAATAAATGAACATGTATTTTGTGCATTTTAAATAATGTTGTTTGTAGTATTCATTTTAATTCCAATTGTTCTTTTCTGTGATGAAAATTCTTCGAAATAGTAAAGGATATGTGAATAATTCAAAACCTATTCACGACCCATAAAGAAGTATTGGGTCACTGTGTCAGATTTACTAAAGATCAATGTTCTCTTTATTGTAAATGTTTAAAAGGTTTGTTTTTGCTATGACATCTCAGTGTAAGTCTTTACGGAGTTATCGCTGTATCTCAACTAATCCGTGATATTTTAAACCCCGCCCACCCTCGTACATGTAAACAATGTTCAACGTCAGTGCAAAATATGACACCGGCTACATTTGGGTAGGTACGTTAAGTCATTATTGTTTACTGGAATAGTATCACGTTCCATATTCTGGACTATTTAAAATCAGGTTGCCTCAATATCTATTAAAGAACCAAAATTATATTTGATGATATACATGTAGTTTAAAAGGGACTATTTAGTCGAATAACACCCTTAAAATTGATAATATACTGAAAATATATACCTCCTAACAAAACTTAACAAACGTTAAGTGTGGTCACTTTTTCTTTTTTGAAAGCCGTTGCTTAGTATATCTACGACCGAAATAGCACAATATCCGGGCCTTTCTGTGAGAAGTAAACATGTAAAATGCACAGTACCACACTGTCGACCGACTACACTTAACACATGTTTGTCGCTTTGAATTTACACAATACATCCCAAGCAAGAATTGTCAGTATCATATAATATTTAAATCTAATGAGATATTTGTTTTCACGGTTGAATTCGAATGAAAAAGAATAGGTTAAGTTATAGTGTACTTGCAAGTAGGTACCGTACGGAGAATTTCAAACCGCACAAGTAGCGGTATCAGTAGGTTTAAACGTAAAATATATAATCATAATTTTGATTACGTGTGTATCTAAGTATTTTTAATGCATGTGTAAAACCTTTAAAAACTTCGTCTGAATAACATAAGGGATACATGAATGAAGTTGACTTACATTTGTTAAGGTAGCAAGGACAAATTTATTGAAATCTTTAACACAAGTAGTTTAACTGACTTAGTATCAATTATTTTTACGTCAAATTGACCCTGCTATACGTTGAAGGTTACATGCTGGAAATAACATTGCATAACAGGTAAACAAAATTGCTTATTAGATCTAGTATCATTGAATATTTATATACGTTTGCTTAAAATATTATCTTTTCAGAAACAGATCGCCTTAAAAGCTACAGTATATACGTAACAAACAATACTGATATGACACAGGCTATTGGATCTATCAGTGAACAGTCTGGTCATTTGTGTTACCATGACACTGAGTCTGGGACGCCAACGTATAATCAGTCACGTGAGTGTCATGTTACCGGGAGATACGTCGTGTTCTACAACACAAGGCAACACGGAGAAGCATACGTTGAACTCTGTGGTGTCCAGGTCTACGGTGAGTCTAACTTTAAGAAAAGGATATCTTTCAAGTGAATATGTGGTTGCATAATCATTAACTAGCACAACAACTGCCTCCAAAATGGGGTTTTAACTACATGTGTAGCTCACTTAAAATGTTGGCATACCGATACCATTGATGTATTGTGATAACATGTGTTTGAGTCAGATGGCATTTATGACTAAACCATTATATTATTTAGCGCATGTAAGGGAAAAAATGCCTTGCATAGTTTTCATTATTTTGCAATATATTTCAAGTACTGTGAAATCCCTCATATATTATTTGCAACCTTCGCACTGCAGTTCAACCTTAGCTGTTTACAAACTACATGTATATGGGCTAAGCCTATTATAATGATCCAATATTTGAGTAGGACGTAACGTAGACGGGAAATGAAGAGCCAAAGACAGTGTCATGTGCTAGCAATAGATAGTTTTCTTGGTGATATAAATTGGTGGCTGTGAAAATGAAATAATGTATAAGAGACTTTGAGGATGTAATGGTTTTAAATAAACAGAAACACCCTGCGAAGTAGTAATGGTTAATGATATATACTTCCCCCTCACGCCCCCCCCCCCCCCCCCCCCCCCCCCTCCTTGTTCAATGTTAAGCCCTGTACTGTTGTAAGTCATAACGCGGGCTATTAGAAAACAGATTGTCATGATATTGTACAAAATTTTGAAGTTGTATCCGATACCTTCCAATTCTTCTATCGACGATCGAGATATCCCTGTAGCTTTCGTGCAGTTCTATAATACCGAGAACGTTAAGCTTTCACCAGCATTATAGAAGACACTTGAGTTTAAAATAAATAATACCATTGTAACACATCGGGATTAATATATAGTCAAAGAAAAGGGGACACTCAATATGTGACTTATGTTTCAAGCCTATTTTTAACTTTTGTTCGACAATTAAGCTTCTACTAATAAATATTTAAAAATGTATTCCGTCTGTGCTTTATTTTGATTAATTTAGTTTTACGTAATACAAATACTCGTTTGTTTGAATCCCGAGCTTATATCTATTCAGATTGCTGCCCGCAATAATAAAGCCTTTATAACAACGCATTTTGTTCATATTTGATACTTTAGTCCTCTTGTTAACATTAAATATATTGTTACATCAAATAAGAAATATTTTACATCATGGTTGATGAGAGGAGTTAATGTTTGGATACAATTTGGATGGTACAAATGTACTTATGAAATTATCATTTATTCCAGTAAGATTTCATCAAATATTCGTATAGTCATTTACTCTATGTTCTTGGTTGATAAGTTTGCAATATAATGATGGTTGATAGATATTCTTTATTTTTACTTGACTGGATAATCGTTGTTTTGTCAAAGGATGTCGTGCCGGTAGATTTGGATTTAACTGTCGTGACACCTGTCACTGCGCGACTGGAGGCTGTAACCCTGACACCGGACAGTGTGACGTACCAGGGTGTCAGACAGGATGGATGGGGTTATCCTGTAGCCTCCGATGTCACTGTATATCAGGGGGAGCCTGCAATCCTAACACAGGTGCATGTCCAGGGAGGTGTCAGTCTGGGTGGAGCGGGCGAAGCTGTTTTGTGGGACCACGTGAGTTTTATAGCTGAAAACTATTTTTGCACCGTATATTATACTGATTTGATATCAGCGAGGATAAACTGTGGATTTGGTTAATTCATCAAAAGATGGATATAAATGGGCCCTCTGTTCATTATATAATTTCAAATGCAAGAAGGATATGTGCATATCAGTGTAACGCCTTAACCTGAGAATGTTCGATACGCATTTGGTACTATTTGTGTTAAGAACTCTATTTTGTCATTATTTATTACTCTGATAGGTATCCCAATTGTTGTTTCATCCTTTTCGCAATATATTGGTACTGTTATGCAGAAAAAGATGCATGAATTTAAGAAATATAAGAAAAATCCATAATTTGGTTTATTTTTAAATGAACAAAATAAAAGTAAGGAAAAATGTCCATGTTCCACTACGTTTTAGACATATAGTATTTTAATCAATAAGCTCCAAAGGAATTATCTACTAATTGCTGTTTTGGGTTTAAACTCCCTTTCAAACATACTTTGTTTTGTGTTTGTGTGCATGTATGTTTTTATAATAATTACAACCATACAATATATAAGTTAATTTACACACGTGAAATACTTCACGACTTTTATTTCTAAAAAAAAAAAAAAAACGTGTTAAATCTCTCTGCGTTTTTATCTCCACGCTAATGTTAATGCAATCAATGTAAGCGCCTAGTATTTTCGGTATTTGATTTAACGTTCGCGTTCCCTTTTTCGCAATTTCGCGAGCTCGAAAATAGAACGAAAATTAACCGCTAAGTATATAACTTATACAGCCTTATTCATAACACTGTAGCTTATGGTGTTTTTATCAAGTCATACTTTTGAAAACAATTACGTAAGGGTATTGTGTAAATGGGTCACTAAAATTCCATGCCTTTGCGCTAAACACCATTTTATGATATGGAACTGATGTACAAATGTAATTGCCTCATCAATCTTTTTTTTTTTTTTACCAGATCATAAAATACAAGTATGTGACTAGATATGTATTACATTTTACTAGATTTATTTTCACAGCATATTCTTAAGTTTCCTTCGATACTATCAGTTAAATAATCCTTGCATGAAGCGTTGCTAATTAGCTTCGCTAAAGCTTTGTGTCAGTTCAATTCATTTTGTTACTTGATATTATCATATTTACCGCCCCCACCGAGAAATGTTAAAGCGTTTTATTCCTTTCAGCTGTATTTAAAAACCCTGAAAGTAATTTGTTCTCAACATTTTAAGGTGATCTTGCTCATAACAAGCGAACAAGGCAGAGTTCCACTTACAACAGAGATGAGGGTCGTTTTGGTTCTGGTAAAGCTGTTGATGGTGTTATTACAGCAGATGTATCACCTAATGGAAGTTGTTCACACACAGATCAAACAAGAATCTATCCCGAAGCCTGGTGGCAGGTCGACCTCGGAGAAATCGAAAGGATACAGACTATTAACATTATTTACAGACAATTGTGTAAGTGGCAGTACTTTATACATTATACATAATAAAGCCTTAGTTCAGCGAGACACTGAATTTACAATGTTACGTAGACATTCAGTTCTACCGTTAAGTTCTAGTCTGTTCAATTATTATATGAATACTTGTTTGTTGTATATTTAAGAATTTATCAAAAAAATGAAAAAAATGAGCGGTAATGTGTTCCTTTCACATTCACTATTCAAAGCTTGGGTTCGCTCCGGCAAATAAATCAACGACTCATTTTGACGCGTCTTAACACGTGATCGATGAACATCGTGATTATTCTCTATGGGTGACATGTCGGGTGATTTATACGGTAAAAAAATAAATATTTTGTCGCTGCTTACCTGATGCAACTTGTATTCGCTGGCGTGCTATCTTGTTGCAAATAATAGTGCCAGTGGCATTACGTTACTAAAATGGGTGTACAAACGTCTTCAAAACTTCGCCTCGATAACACACCCCATTCATATTCTTCGGTTATCACGAAAACCTCCCAAGAAGCATATAAGAACTGTCATGTTCGATGACGCAGCACACGAAAGTGAATAGTGGCCAATAAAGTGGTTGTTACGGTGATGTTGTGTCACAAAAGTCCCTTATAAGGGGGTCGCGCGTTGAAGCGAGTTTTTAGTTTTTTCGGATATTTTCGTCAGATACACGACGACCAATCAATGTCCTCGCGGTCTCACTTGCAGAAACAGTGTGGCCATGCAGATACAAGGGCCATACCTTGCTGTCTTCATGAGTGGTCATTGCATTTTGCGAACGGTCGGACGTCGACCTAGCTTGGTTATTACGATTCAAGGTTTATTTTGTTTGCAATGCAACCTACTTGTGATGCAATCTGACATACATGTTTTTTCAAGTCAAAATATGTTATTGTATATGCCATACTTACATAAGGAAATAGGCAACAGACAAAGCTTAAAGAAGCCCTCTCCTTAAAATACAAACAGTGCATACAGTGTACATATGTTGAAGTAAAAATATGCAGCCTTATACAAAAAAGTAAAAGTACTAATGTGAGTTCTATTATATATTATTGAATCACCAATTTTTATAAGTAAAATGAAGCAGTTGCTACAAAATAACGGCTGGTCGTTCAAACTTGAAATTGAGATCAGCCCAGACAAAATGTCTATAAACTCAACTCAATGGAATACCATCACTCAGATCAAATTCGGAGTTAATGAGGTAGAGGTTCATATAAATGAACAAAGGGGGAAGAACTAATCAAAGCCTTCAATGGGATAACCACAAATACAGACCAGCGTGAAGTTGGTTACTTATTAAATTTTGGGCTAGCTCCATATATGACAAGCCAAATGTTGGGCTGACCCAATATTGGGCTAGCTTGATATTCAAATCAGGCAACAACACTTTTCATTGGTTGATTAAGCCCAAGCATGCATTGTTTTCCAACAAAACAACGTTCTTACAAAAACCACCACCGCAATTGTAAACAAGCGAGCCGGAGGACTTGTTTCATTTGTCGAATGAGGGTACACGCATGTATTTGCAATTTACTAGCGGACAATCAAAACCATTTCTTTTTTGTCTCTAGATCTACATTAAACTGTCAAACTAACGATCAACATATTTCGGCTGAATTTTTAAATAATGTTTGTAAATCTGTCAAATGCTGATTACATGTGTTGACAAGCGATGTCGATAAATGTTGGTGGTTTTGATTAGTTAAAATAGGCATCTGGTATAAAGCATGACGTCGTCAGTGTTATTTGTTTATCGTCTGTCGACCAAATTGGCGACTGAAATGAAAAATCATTCCTATATATATATAGGTTAAATAGACAAAATAGGCACATGCCCAGAGTGTTAGAAACATACAGCTTGTTGTGAAATTAAGACATATATGTATCATTTGACAAATATTAGCGCGCGCAAATGAAGTCTTATTAATATACATATATAATCTAGATCGTCTTGCTTATCATAGGCGAATTATAAATTTTATTAGACCCGAAAAAGGCTTTAATTACATTTTATTTTGTAGAATAGATATGATTAACACGTGTTTTATATAATGATGGAAAGGTAAATCGGATTTCGCAGATGTGGAAAAAATAATCAAATCAGCCCGCTAGCGGCCTATTTTTTGTTTTTGGTTTTCATTTTTCACCCTTGCTATATATTTCACCATTATTCAAGCACATACAATGAACATTTTTTTTTTATTTCTAAAATAAAAATCCAATTATTAATGAAAAAATGTCGTCACATTGCATAAGTGTACGCGACCAATATCGTTTCCAAAATAATAGACTTGTTCTGTCGTCAGCACAACAATAGGTTTACATTCAGGGTTTATGCTTATTTGCATGTTGTTCACATTTGTCAAAAACAATAGAGGTCCACAAGGGTACCCCACAGTCGTTATGGGCTTCCTGTAAGTTTACTCTGTTAGTTTTGATAATTTGTCCTTTATTTTTAAGATAAATTAAAACCATTTGATAGATTTAACCCCCATTATTTAAAGTTTTTCACACAGAATTAGGCCGTCCACGGTATCGAAAGCTCTCTGTAATTCACGGATAGTCATATCAGTAAAATGGTTATTTTGCTGTTTGTTTTTGTATGTGGTCAAACAGGAATCTGTAGAGAAAGAGAATGAGCTTCTAAATTCAAACAATGAGACGATGAAATTTCCAGCTATACATAAATGTTTATTTCTACGATTTTGGACTCTGTGCAGATCTATGATTTTCTACTTTTAGTATGCCAATTTTCTTGTACAGTGGCTTAATTTGTGACAGTTTCTGAACTAATAGATGTATATATGAGGTATATTGTTGGTACTTTCAATATAGCTGCCAAGATTTTCAAAACTCTGGCTGGTACATGTATTTCATCAAGCCCTGTGCTCTTACAGTACAAGGGTAAATATTAAATAACTCTTTGTGAACGAATTACTCTGTTACATGGCTGAAGTGAAACTCTGTTTTGTTTGGAATCCTTGGATTTCAGGTTATTTACTGACTTGTTTAGATGCTATTTTAGGAAAGAAGGTATTAAAATTTGCTATATTGAGAAGGTCATGACAGCTGGTTCCGTTGACATTTAAAACATTTTTTGAGTTGCTCTATTTCTTCTTTTCATATTCAAACTCCTTTAAATATTTTCTTAGGTTTTTTTATTGCTTCTAATTTCTTCTTTCTTGTCAGAGAAAAATCAGATTTCGACATTTCGATTTGTCGTTGTACTTTGTTCCTAAACAAGTAGATATTTTGTGTAGTCCGATTCCAAATGATCTTTTTTAAACTGGAACAAGTATTTCTTTCTCCTTTAGATATTGTCTAAAATGTCTGAATTCATCCATACTTCTTCTTGAGCTTTATTTCTTGAACTGTAGCAATAGTATCTATAACTTTTATTTAAAAACAAATTGAGACCAGGATTGATGTTGATCCTCAGCATAAAACAGCTTCTCAAGTCAGAGTTTAAAATAGTTTTTTTAAACACCTCTTTGTTATAATGTTTGGTCGAAATTGACTGTATTGTATTATGTTTTTTAAAAGTACCACGAACCACTATCATTTAATGTAAGTAAGGGGGTGGTCGCTTAAAACGATCGAACGATTGTTAGATTGACTAATTATGTCTTATTAATTACATAAATTAAAGTCTACACGAGTGATTTGTTATTCTAGATTTGTAATTCTAATGGCTTTAGAAATAACCTGATCCAGTTCAGACATATTCAAGATGATGCGGTATGATTTAAGCAGTAGACATGCTTTTTGGATCCAACATATGTCAAAAACACCTAGCATTATATTTTCACAGTCAGATCTTAGCAATGAAAGTTCTTTTACGTTTGAAGGAAATCCTTTTAATTAGGAGGCCTATAACATGTTCCAATATATATAGGCGTTTTGAATAATAAAAGTGATATTATTAAAATTTGTTCATTGTCGTTTAGATATCAAATCGAGGAGTGTACACCAGTTCTTCATGAACGTAGGTACATACTCCACCATCATTCCTAGATCTGTCTTTATGAATTTCTGAGTTAGCCACGATTCAGTTAAAGGGGCGTCTGATTGCGTTGCAATGAGTCTGAGATCATGATAATTCGTTAGGAGAGATTGGGCAATCAGATGAATGAAATGAAGCCCTTTCTGTCAAAATACTGCAAGTGATGAGGATCAGCAAGCTGGGTTGTGGTGGACCATGTTCTTGTATAGGGTCGTGCAGTTCTGTTGTTTTGAATTATTGTTGTAAGGAGATGGCTTCATAAGTTGTAATAACTTGTGCCAAATCCTATATTCCAATTTTGGTTAATAAAATATATTTAAAGTCAGTTCTGATTGTTTACTTTCTGGTTAGATGATGTCACTCTCTTTTCCTACGGAAATTACTGGTGATAATGTTACGAGTTAAGATAAATGAAAACCTTTAAAAACGCAGGTTGTGCATATCCAGGATTCGTTATTGTCAGAATCGACCAAAATGTTATATATGACCCCAAACATTCCCACATATTTCCTGTGGTGTCACAGGTCGCATCCACCTTTACAGAAAAAGACGGTGTTTCCGCATTATCCCCTTTCTCTATTAGCCACATGGTAATTTTACTGGTCCTCGATTGGGTTGTTTTTCTCCTTTAAGGATAATGGACCACAGTAGACCACAAGCTAGGTTTAAATCACTCGGATAATTAGTTTTTCCGTTCTGATATAATATTCTAGCACTATACATGTAGTGATAAAATCTGCCAAAGCGAACTCTCTGACATCTGTCACCGTTGCCAATTGTAATCCTTATTTATACATGACCTTATATAATTATATGACCTTATTGACACTCAACCTGGTGACATTATACTGACAAGCGGTTAACTACTGTGATGTTTATATTCACAAACAGTCCAGGACAAAATTCTGGAAATTCAGTTTCAAAGAAAAATATGTTGTTAAAAAAACCTGGAAAGATGTGAGTAGTCTTGCATGTTAAGCCAGAGCGTTTCTTTCTAAGAAATTAATACGAGATTAAGGCGTTGGAAGAAGGGAATCAATCAAATATCTGAAATACGATAAGTGTTGGAAGAAAGATTATAATAACAAAATTGAAAACCAGTTGGCTTGGTTAGTAGAGATTATCTTCTATGTGCTATTTAAGGCCATGCTCTAATGTTTGTAATGCATGCGTTTGATTAAGGCGTTTTGTTGTTTGATTTGCTTCCTTTTGATTGCAAGGATCAGATGCCAACTTGAGAGTGTTACATTTTGCACCCAGCACAGCACTCCACCTACTCATACCATCGTTGCGCTTACCATATATGCTAAATATTTAGTACGGGAAATGGTTCAAAACCCTAGTAGTAATTGGTAACTCCTGCCTATTGGGTTCCTAAGAATGAAGTACGGGGTACTTTTATACAGATTTGAAGTCTGTTTAATATTCAAGTTTAGAAGGGTATATACAGATAACGGGGTCAAACTATAGCGTGTCACTCGACAATAGCTCATGAATATATCTCAGATTAAAAAAATATCTTACAGACTTATAGTTCGATACGCGAGAAAACTAAAACAATACATATGACCCATTCAGTCTCTAGGAAAGAAAAAATCCTGATCTGTCTCACTGCATGTCGTAAGAGGCGACTCATGTGCGGTACTTACAGAATCAGTGTTTTTTCTTCTGTTACATCCGTCTCGGGGTCATTGAGGAAGCCAGAGTTGGTATTTTCCCCCGCCCTGCCCCTCCCCCATAGCAACAATTTTGCCCGCTTTCGTATGACCCTGGCTATTGTGGAGAAATAACATTAATACAAACAAAAATATTAAAACAAAAGCGATCATAAATCAGCTGAGCATTTACTTAGAAATTCTTTAAATATGTATAACAGGAGATAATTAATGAAAACTATAGTATAACACAAACCGAAGTACTTTGATATGCCAACAAATTAGGGGTTGTGGGTTAGCAATGTGGTAGAACTGGTTTATTGCTGATAGACGCAGCTTTATAAGATTGTTGCATTTTTTATAGCATATAAAATAACTTTTATTAACTATGTAATTTTATATACAGTAGGTATAGCGTCAAAAATATATATAAAACAAAACACTGAAGATTAATTTCGCTAGTATATCGCCCATCTGAGAGCTCTTCATGCGATTTGAATTTATTTGTGACGTCATAAATACACATACAGTTCACATACAAAATGTACTTACAGTTGTGCGACCGCACAACGCAACGACAATAGCGTGCGCACACTGTGCATACTACATGTGCACACCATCCGCACATCGTCCACACATGGTGCGCACAACTGAGTGATTTAACAATCGCTATTTACATCGTGCGCTTCACTCAGCACAAATATGTGATTGGGTCAAATTGGCCGATCAATATTACTGAATGAATAAAATCCGGAACCCTTAAAGGGAATAAGGATCACTGTTTATAAAATTTCTCATCATATCGATTAAGATTATGTTCAATCTTACAATGCGTGTAAAACAATACTAGACTGTCAAGAAAGGTTTTGGCTCCCGGGTAACAGAATAGGTAAATAACATTTTGTTGACTGGAGTTTTAACTGACCGCCGTGTGCTTGACATATAGAGCCGATATATGATATCTTGACTGTTATGAAAACACAACTGGACGTTAACTATTTGTAATTTGCATTCGGTTTGGTCTAAAGCTCCCCTTCATCTGCATTTTCACACCTTGACCAGTTACGTAAGTACCCCAGGTGGGGAAGAATACGGTCTAGGTACATGTACAAAGGGGCTATGTTTACCGGTATATTGGACCGTGTCTATATGTGATATAATTTTACATGTATCAATTTGGGTCGTTTAAAAAACACAGAAACACCATTTCCTAATTTAAGGAATATAGATAGAAAGATCAGCTTATATATATATATATATATATATATATATTTAAACACGAAACCGTATAAATTGTAAAGCCATTTCTCAATTTACAACGATTGTCATCGCATAACGTATGTCCATCGTCCGCACAAATGTGCGCAATCAATAATCGTCAAGATTTTCATCGTTCCAACATCGTCCACACATCATGTGCACATCGCGTGCACAGCGCACAACGTTTACACGTTGTACGATCCTACAACTGTAAGACGTCAAACGTAAAGACGTTATAAACAAAGTATACATGATGCGGACGTCTATAAATTGCGATGTCTTTACATAATTAACTCTTACTTTGTATTGCGGGGAATTGGACATATTTTATTGTAACAATAAGTAACCTGTTTGTCGACGTAATGCGTACTAATATTGACTTTTTACCAATATTAAATTTCTTTTTACTTTGTTTTAGACCCCTTCCGGATGTCCGGGTTTTATTTGTACGTATCTAACAGTTCCTACACCAACTCACAGTCGCTGAGTCGGGACTATTTGTGCTACCATGATCACGGACCGGGTTTGCCTTCGTACATCCAGTCACTTCCATGTTCTGTTCATGGGCGTTACGTCACATTCTACAACAAGCGTCCTGCTGATTATGAACCAAGGAATGTTACGTATTATTCTGAAACGACCGCAATTATAACGCTATGCGAGGTCCAGGTGCTCGGAGGTATGTAGTATGTTAACCATTTTATCAAACCTAAGTATCTTAATTTTGCTTAAATTTGGCAACCAAGAATGTTACATGTGCTGACAGTTAGTCAGATAAGGCATTTGGTAAAAGACTTTCGCCGAAAGTTGGCAGGGTCTACCCCAGTTTTTACCACGTGTGTGACTGTTTTAAATTTCCTTTACCGAATTTTGACAATATACAAATGAATATTATCATGTACAACACATGAATGTGCAAAGAATGCGGTCGTAACGGATCGATAAATAGTCTAGGCCGGTAATAAAGTGAATGGCCCTGGTAACTTTCAAAATGTTACTAGGATACTGATATTTTGTATAACAGTTCCCCGTTCCTGGGGAAAATTGACCTGTTAAGTACTCTTTCTGAAAGCTCAAACTTTGCCTCTATCGATAGTTTAATATACGGTGATTGTACTCTTCATGTAAACGCAACGAAGGGAATTTTGTGTCATGTGTAAATGTGCATGCATGACTGAAAGCTTACACCAAGACTTTACAGTAATATTTCAACAGGTCCCTTATTCAATTGAGGTTGGACTGAGCAACACAGAATTGTTTTTTTGTGTGTCATAATTGTGTAAAAAACAAAATATTTAAAAAAAGGTGGAATATTTACATGGATGTGACGGTCAAATGTGAAGGTTCCTTTGATATGTCGTACAGCCATGGGACAATACAATACCATAAGAAATATGGAATACTCAGATTTTATGTATCAAACAATACACTGAAAAATGTTACAATTTAAAAGTCGTTTAGTATGTATACAGTTTTGTGACCGCACCACGCACCAAAAATAGCGTGCGCAAATCGTGCATACATCATGCATGCATCGTTCACATATCGTCAACAATCGCTCGCCCCGTTGTGCGCACCTCTCCGCACAAATGTACAATTTGGAACAATTGGTTGATGAATATTGCAGAATGAAAAACATCCGGAACCCTCATAGGGAATAATGAATACTGTATATATACGTTACTCATCATATCAATTAGGATTATGTTCAATTTTACAATGCGTGCTACACAGTATTACTGTGGCCGTTAGACTGTCAATAATGGGTTTGGCTCCCAGGTAACTGGGCAGGTAAATAACATTGTGATGAGTTATACCTGGATCCATGTGCTTGACATAGAGAGTCTATATATCATACCGTATTACTGTTATAAATAAAACCGGACGTGTAGCATTTGTTATTTGCATTCGTTTTAGTCTAAAGCTCCCCTCCTCGCTGGCACACCTTGGCGAGTTACGTAACAGTCTGGGGTGGGGAAAACTACAGTCCAGGTCAAGTCTGTGTTACCTGCATATGGGACCATGTTATATGTGTTATTTACATGTGTCGATTTGTGTCGTTTAAAAAAAATAATTTTAAACTTCATTTTTAAATTGAAGAAAATACAGATAGAAAAATCAGCTCTAATCTGTACCTAGAATATAGAAATATACTTAAAAATCAACTTTATATTTTAAAAAACGAAACTGTTTATATTGTTAAGCCATTTCTCAATTTACACCAACCATGATTGTCATCGCACAGCGTATGCTCTTCGTCCACACAAATGTGCCAAAGCGGTAATTGTCCAGACTTTTATCGTTTGCACATCATACACACGTCGTACACACCGTGCATACATCGCGCTCACACCACACATCGTGTGAGGTTGTGCGATCATTCAAATGTACATGCAAAGAAGTTTTAAATACATTTTTATAGAATATCATTAAATATATAAGATCACTTGATGATGCATACATATACTAACGAACAAATATTTGATTATTGATATTTCAGGGTGTTCCGCTGGATTGAAGGGTGATTCGTGTAACGAAGGTAGTCGTAGCAGCATAATTGATGCAAAATACATGCATGTTATAGATTAAGTTGAACAACTGTGAAGATTAATCTGTTTTAGAGAGGAAAAATGATAATATATACCTTTTTCATATTCTCACTTAAAGTGTCCCTCAAATTGCGTATGCAATATTGTGCATTTCAATCAGCCACAGTCCCATTTCTGGCTATATCAGTCCGAATCTAGAGATTTATACTTACCAAACGAAATGATTGCTTCGAGCTTTATAACTACTTGTGTTTGTTGTTTGATGGAACATGTACAGAAAACGTGTTTTGTGTCATTACTAAACACAATTATGGAGTTAACGCTAGAATAGACAAAGGACATAAAATAGACAAAGGAAATGTATTAAAGATTTGAAAAAACTGACTGCAATAATACAGGAATGGTCGCCAAAGGAATGAAAAACAAGACGAGAAGGAAAAACTTGTGAGACACAAGATTGGCCCTGAACTTATCAGCTCCTTTGGCCTGATAAAAATCTTTGATTTGTTTATATAATTCTGTAAATATGTCACAAAGCTAATGCATCTCAAATCAGCATGTAACGATAAATAAATCATTCCTTCCGTACATAGTTACGGGTGTAGAATTTGCTCCGTATATAAATTAGTTCTCTTATCAAAATGGAGATGGATGTTATAATGTTCTTGTTTATTCAATTATAATAACTTCTTGACCGATGCAAACCGATGATCTCTAACAGTAACGACATGTTGATACAATTCCGGGTGATAAAGCTAGCACAATGGTATGTATTTTTGTATCATTGTATTGTAGACTGTGAACATGGTTTATTCGGACAAGGCTGTAGCCAGACCTGTCACTGTGCCACAGCTGACTGTAACAAACGAACGGGGACGTGTGGACCTCAGGGGTGTTCAGCTGGATGGAAGGGTTTAACATGTAGTCAAGGTAACCATTATCATTTCTTTCATCATTATTATAAATAAGATGACTGAAATATTATACTTATCTCATCAGGGTTATATTGTCGATTTGAATTATAGCTTAATTAGTATCACATCAGGTTAGGGTGATTTATCGTGGACGAAAATAACATACAAAATGAAATGAGTCTGAGTTGTACACCATTTTGTGCTATTTACATGATCTAAATGATTCGTGTTAACATAATGACTTTACCTTGTTCAGCATGTGACACTGGGACTTTTGGGCAAAATTGTCATCAGCAGTGTCATTGTTCTAAGCAAGACTGTGATAAGAAATTGGGAAGATGTACAGGAGAGTGTTTGGCTGGCTGGCAGGGCGATTCCTGTAACCAAGGTAAGACTAATATTGTGACGGAGGAGAAAAGATGTAGCCATTGGTTCACGATAAAGAACACAAACACGTTTTTCGTCATTGTTTTTATGATACTAATTGCTGAATATCTACATGTGGTCATCTGCTTCACACGCATTTCTATACAAAACAACACAATATCTTTAATGTTACAAAGTGTCTTTGACATTTGTAAATTAGATTTTGTATTGTCACACCGAGAAGTGTTTATCAAAGAATATTGAATACAAATCAAATGAAATATATACTGAGCATTTACCTCACTTTGTACGTTAGCATGATGGCAATAAACTCAATAGTAACGAAAAGATTTGAACATTGACAGCATGCGACCATGGGACGTTTGGACAAAATTGCACCCAGCAGTGTCATTGTTCAAAGCAAGACTGTGATAAACAAACGGGAGGATGTACAGGAGGGTGTTTGGCTGGCTGGCAGGGCGATTCCTGTAACCAAGGTAACTTATATTGTGACAGATGTGAAAATATTTAAACAAAAGAAGAGAGAAACTTGTTTTTCGTCATTAACATTATAATATAAAAGTTGTGTGACCGCACAACGCACAAAAAATATCGTGCGCACACCGTGCATACATCGCATGCACACCGTCCGCATATCGCCCAACCATGGTGCGCACCACTTTGCGATTTAACAATCGTTCGCCTCGTTGTTCACTTCTCTCCACAAAAAGGTGGGATTTGGTACAATTGGTTAATCGATATTACGGAATCCGGAAGGCTCGTATGGAATAAAGAACACTGTATATGTAAAGTTTTCATTATACAATGTACTAATTTACATAATGTTCAATTTTACAAATATCATTTTGATGTTGTGACCGGAGTTTTACCTGGCGGCCTCTGCCTGACATGGAGAACCGATATATGATACCGTATGGCTGTTATAAAACCCAACTGGACATTAACTATTTGTTATTTGCATTCGGTTTGGTCTAAAGCTCCCCTTCACCTGAATTTTCACACCTTGACCAGTTACGTAACTACCCCAGGTGAGGAAAAATATGATCTAGGTTCATGCACAAATGGGATATGTTTACCGGTATATGGAACCGTGTCTATATGTGTTATAATTGTACATGTATCAATTTGGGTCGTTTAAAAAACACAGAAACACCATTTCCTAATTTAAGGAATATAGATAGAAAGATCAGTTTATATATATATAAAGCTAGAATATAGACACATGGTTAAAGAACTCAAGTTACAATGTATATGTTTAAACAAGAAACCGTATATATTGTTAAGCCATTTCTAAATTTACACCAACCAAAAGTGTCATTGCACAACGTTCGTCCATCGTCCGCAAAAATGCGCGCATGCAAGTATCATCCAGATTTGTATCATTCGCACATCAAGCAGACATCGTGCACACATCGCGCGACCACCGTACACAGTGTATCGTTGTGCTCTCCCACAACGTGTGTTATATTATTAATTGTTCTTCCATTACTATATAATGAGTATGCATCTCCCACAAATGTATAGTTGTACAGATCGCAAAACGTTACACGATGTTTGGTTTGTGCACGGTGCGCTCGGTGAAAAATTGTGCGATAATTACGTGCATAAAATAGTTGTTTGAAAGGTATTATGATTAGTATGTATTAAGGAATAACATGTGATAACCAACTAATTCCTAATTTGCCATATTTCAGTTATGTGATTATCTATTTATCTAACGGACATGCATGTAAACAAATCACGTAATAAAAGTGCTTTGAAACTACCTTACAGCTGACAGTGCAAGTTGAAAAGCTTTCAATTGAAATTAAAGAAAAATATTTCTGGTTGTGAGATGTTTCCCATCAGCTCCGACTATCGTTTCTAACAAAGTGCCGACATTTTAGTTTGTCCTTGGTTTTTTTAACGAGTATGGGTCTCGCTGGGTATAAAAAGCGCATTACCTTGTAAACCGGCTATCATTCTACAACTGACCGTCTTACGATTCAATGCAGCACGCACCCTGATCGGCAACCGATATCAAAAATCAAACGCACTCAACTAAAGACTGTGAAACACTGCCAAGCTGGTTGTTACTTATGGCACATTCTTGAAAATTGTGTATCTAAAATAAAAGGTATATTACGGAAAATACTTCTAAAAATCCCATATGTATCATCGGTATTTCACGTGCATAGAACTGTATCAACACACGAAACTGTATTATGAACTCGTGGTCTTCGTCGTGTTGACGCTTTACTAGCAAAACACGTGCGAAATGAGACACTCCCAAGTGTGATGTCAAAAATGTGTCTTTAAACCGTTCTCATGGAAATGATTGGAATTAGTATAGTTTTCACACAGGAAGTTATAAGTAGTTGGATATATAAAAGGTAGGCATTAGCGTTCGGTGTATGAAGTACAGAAGTTGTAGTTCGTAGGAATATGACCTGATTTCCACGGTGACAAGGCTCATTTGCATGTTTATTGTACGTGTGCTATATCGTTTTTATTGGACGGCAATATTGCACGGAAATAGCATGTATTATATAATAAATATATATAGTATATTGAACAAATGGCAACCGGTTTGACGGTAATACGCTTATTATACCCAGCGAGACCCATACTCGTTATCAAGCAAGGACAAACTAAAATGTTGGCACTTCTTTAAAAACGATGGTCGAAAGAGATGGGGAAATCTCAAAACAAGAAAAAATAAACTTTGAAATAAAAATCTCAATTACAAATCTTTTTAATTTGCACTGTCAGCTTTAATCGACAAGTGTGTATGTTACGGGCAGAAACGTGAACGTACTGTACACGCATATTACATGTAAACAAAGTACCCTGACATGTTATCATTTACTTGTATATTGTCAGGTAACGCGTACATTATTTTTCACTATTAATCCATGAACTCCACCCAAAGCGTAACATGCAGGATTTACACAGGTAAAGGTCAAGTTGTGTTTTGATACCTGTCAAATATTTTATGAACTCTAATCGGCAGTGAATTCCATGCAATTTACTATGCATGTATACTATCGCTATACCTGACAGAACAACCCCACTACTGATAGTTTTACAGTCATTGTGCTAATCTATAACCAGCTGGAAAAATAGAAAAGGCCAAATATACCAATCGGATATTTAATACGTATAAGATTTTGTTTTTATTTCATTCGAGTCTCCCGCATGTTTTCATTCCGTAACATCTATCAAACAATCACACATGCCCATATCACACATACATTTATGTATATAGCACAACGGGACGTACTGTTTAATCACCTAGTCGATTGAACAATATGCAAACGAAGTGCAGACGATGTGCGCACGATGACTGCATGATCGATGTATGCACGGTAATTTTGGTGCATTGTGCAATCAAAAATCGTGTTGCGAACGTAACAATTTTAGCACGATTTCTCATCCGGAGAGGAATCTTGTCGGATTGAGAAATCGTGCCGTAACAACTGTACATGCATCCAGCATGCTCAATTAAAGTAATGGACCATTTATGAGATTGTTGATAAGTATTGCCTTTTTCATGTATTATTAATATTGAGAAGTGGAATAATCAAATATCTCATATGGTACCTTTATTATGAAGTAAAAGTACATTTGTTATACGTAAGCTTGCATTTATGGGAAATTCGGACAAGGCTGTAACCAGAACTGTCATTGTGCCGCATCTGACTGTAACAAGGAAACGGGGATGTGTGGACCTCCTGGTTGTTCTGCTGGATGGAAGGGTACTACATGTAGCCAAGGTAACCTTTTGTTATCATTCAATGCATAAAGGATGTAAGTGTGAGGCCATGGTTACAATTGTTTTGGTATTTACCTTATGAAATATTATGTTTTTACCAAAATGTTAATGTTACCTGATTGATACATATGCACGACTTGGATTTCGTAAATAAAATCCTTAGCAAATTCTAACTAAGAAAACTAAAAAAACCCACTCTTTTGAAAAAAAAGCTTAAATGCTCCAAGTGGATTTTTGTATTTCAAAAGACGTATTTAATTAAGAGAGATTGATCATGAATGTATGCCACAGAACAATTAGATTTGCCATTGCTTTACCTCACGTTGCGTCATTCAATTGGTCCACATAAACTCATTATTCACGAAAAGATTTAAACATTGTCAGTCTGTGACCCTGGGACGTTTGGACGAAATTGTATTCAGCAGTGTCATTGTTCCAAGCAAGACTGTAATAAACAAACGGGATGTACAGGAGGGTGTTTTGCAGGCTGGCATGGTGATTCATGTAACCAAGGTAACAATGATAGTGTGCACACATAGAGTAAACGTCAACATTTATTTATAAAAAGAGAAAAACATTTTTTCATCGTCGTTATTATCATACTAAATGCTGAGGTGTGTTATGCGCTCTACCATTAATATGTACTGAGTGTATAACTCTGGCAAATGTACATATGCATCCAACATTCTCCATTAAAGCAAAGAACTATTTATGACATTATATATGAGTATAGTCTTTGAAACGTATTATTAATGTTAAAAACCTCTCAAATAGTACATGTAAATGTATTATGTGAAGTAGACGTTGCATTTTTTTTATACGTCACGAACATCTTTGTGATACCTAAGCTTGCAGTAACGGAACATTCGGACAAGACTGTAACCAGAACTGCCATTGTGCCCTATCAGACTGTAACAAAGGAACAGGGACGTGTGGGACTCAGGGGTGTTCAGCTGGCTGGAAGGGTTTAACATGTAGCCAAGGTAAAGGAGGAAGGGGAAAAACTATGCACACTGCATTGCACAGTCTATGATTGTTTTTTTCCATAATTATTTGATTGAAATCGTGTATGTATTTTACAAAAAAAATAATATCATTACATTTATCATTACGCGAGATGTTTGAAATAATTGATAGGTCTTTGGGTTTAACACGTAAATGCTCAATAATTCTGTAGGTCGGAAGGGGGACCAGTGCAACTGTATTGTTATTGTAGGTAGCAATGCGATATCTGTAGACAGACCTATTGTAACGTCGCTAAGTCATTTATATTATGTCAAGTTGACGTCTATTTGAGTCCGTCTGGTCTCGGCTTTTTGGTATGCTTGGTCTCGCAGTTCTGTGGTTTTTTCCCTATGTTGTTATAAACAACACCAATTCAACTTAGATTTTTTTATATTCAACAAAATATTAACATTTATATTTGGTACATATAGATATACAATTTCTCTCATACAAAATGATACCAAATATGCCCTAATACACCTCCCCACAACAACAGGATCGAACGAGCCCATTGGAGATTATAGCTAATATTGGCGATTATTGGCGAATTTAGGAGAATGACAGTTATATTTCTATTCTAACAATTAAGTTCACACGAGAGTACCAATAACTACGAAGATGAATATCAGAGTACATATATACGAATATATCACAACTAAGGTTTTATCTACCTACTACATATTTCTATTGGAGAATGTTTGAGATAAATTGAAATTATTGGAGACGGTAATTATTTCACTATTATTATTAGTAGTAACACAGTATGGGGAATGTTCTTTACAAGAACGCCCAAGTGTCTTAACTAGTTACCTCGTCCCTGCAATCCATTGTTGGTAAGAAATTGTAAGTAATATGTTATAGTAGTTGATCGCGGAGAGTTGATGGTATGTCGACCGTCTCTTGAGAGGAGTAAAATCGCTCTCCTTGAATAATTAGCTGACCAGTAAAAATTGAGTATACAGAACAGTTACCCGGATGTAATAATCCTTAGGTTTTTATCTTCTCCAATAGCATTACTTACATAAGATTAAATCCGAGAGTTCCGAATGCAAAACAAATATGGCGTTGTACAAAGCAGATGACAGCCGTCTAATAGTTTACAATCTTCAATGTGATCAATTGGAAACGTATCAGGATAAAATGTTTGGCACATTGATGGCAGAAAACATTCTTCTTTTTCGGAAATATAGTCTTGATATTCGTGTACAATTATTATAGAAACAGACGCGAGAATAGACCTCAAGAATAAAACTGATCACTGTAATATTTCAAGTTTGCGATCGGTAACTTGTCATAATACCCAATCAACAGTATATTTAGTTCAACTACATCAAACACTCATTCCTAACGAAATAAAATATTCAAACCAAAGAACTTCATTCATATAGCGATGATATTCGTTACAAATAAACTTACAAGATTGTCATAACTTTCTACATTGATAAACCGACAATAATATGTACAACTTAAACTGTAATGCTTCAAAGATTGTAAGATAGGGTCATTACACTATATTACAATTTCGTATGGAATTGATGTCTTTCATGGTCATGTTAACAGACGTGCTTTTTATGAGAGTATATTTACAAATAGTACGGACTTTGGTTTAATTTGAAAATATTACCTTAATATAAAACAGACGTAAGTTGTTTAAAGTAAATAAAATAGCTCACGTATGCTAATGATTGAGATATTGCAAGAAAATGCTATCAGGATACATGCCGTACTTTGAGGAAATTATATAAGCAATGAGTGGATTTAGCTAAGACATTTAAGGATTTTTTATAAACAAAAGTAAAACATGTTTGCCGATGCATATATACGACTAATGACTTCTTTATTATCACTTACAGAACACACAGATTCAATTAGGTTTCTAATCACGAACTGAAAAAAATAACAAAAATAACGCCGCTTGGTAAAATTTAAATCATAAATTACTTTCTATACGAAAATATTTGCATAGCTACATGTCGTAAAATATGTAAATTGGTTTTCCTGGTTTTATTTTGTTATCATGTCTGTAAAGTAATATCAATCGATGTTATATAAGTATTGTAAATAAAAAAGGATCAATGTTCGTAAGGTATTGAATAAATGAATGAATGAAGGGAAAATATATCAGCACATTATCCACAGGAGTGAGCCTGTGAAAAAAATATTATAGTTTAAGATTTAAGCACAATACGTATCATTTACCAAAAAACACTTTTTCTGATAAATCACAGTCCTGAATAGGCTCTCAGTAGAAATTCCTCATTGTTGACTTGTTCTAGTTGATATTTCAAAAATCTACATTCATGTCTATATAAATCAAAGCAAGAAGACCAACATTACAGTGACATGGTTTATGCTATGCTGATACATTAGAAACAACTACAAATTGGACAATTCACGATTACTTTGACATATTTGGCAAAACACTATTCACATCTTTATTGAAAATCATTTGTTTTGATCATAGTGACGTGATTTTTATGCTTCAGTGGATAACTGGATAAAACTAATGACTGGATGAATGCAAGGGTAAAAATAAAAATGAAAGAAATGTAGAGCATAGGAAATAGATGAAGAATGAATCCCTCCTTGGAGTGGGCACTGTTTGTAAGAAGGCTAACTCCAGTGCCCCAACCCTAAGCAGCTATGCAAACAAAACAAAATACCATAAAAAATAATCATGCAAGGGAGCTACTGATCTATCAAAGTCTAGTGTAAAAATTAGACCATAAAATGTTTTTGCATTGTTTTCGACGTATAGAAACATTGAAAAGTCTTCAATTGATAATATGTTCACATGGTGTAGTAATATATTTACTTACGTTAGCTTTGGCATCGACAAAGTGAATTTTTAAATAAATGCTTTCTTCGACGTATTGCTAATGATTCTTTTACTTGTAGTTTGTTGTATATCATCGGTAATAACAGTGGAACCTCACATTAAAGAACTAATTCGAGTGTTTGTTATAAGAGCACAGTTTCGAAACATGGCGTAAAGTAACATTTATTTAAACAATTTAATTTAATTTGGCAGTGTTTATTTATTATTCGCCATACGTTGGTGAAGCAAAATCCTTTCTATTATATATCAAACTATTCTATTAACAAAACATTATCTTTTCATAGCACCGTCATATTATGATAACCGCTCTAATCATAGAATGTTCCTCCGGTCATTTTGGCTGGACCTGTTCCGAAGTGTGTCACTGTCAACAAGAAGGATGTGACCATGTAAATGGGAGATGTGACCACGCTGGATGTCAGGCGGGCTGGTCAGGACAGTCCTGTAATAAACGTAGGTTTCTGAACAAAAATTCCATTCCCATTGAACGCCACCAGTAATATAGTGAGAATAGGTTGTGACATGAAAAATCTTTCTGATAACGTTATGACCTTGTTCGCTATCACTATTTATGTAATTAACGTTTTGTATTTACTTTTTCTTTATTTAGTTTGATAATCAGTCATCAAATGTCAAACCACGCGTTAGCAAAGAATGACAATAATTATATACAGTCCAAGTGACATAATATACTTATGTCTCAAATTTATAATTACACTGTAAATCCTGTCTGAATTATATTTGCATCTTTCATCGTGGGGCAAACAAAGAAAAGATAAATGATGAATATTTGTGCATAAAGTACAAGACACGCAGACGACAAAATATACATACTCATACATTATACGTGTAAATACTATCAGACAAAATTTACTTGTTAGCAAGACAGGAAGTGTTTAAATATTTGACTCATTTACATGTTATGCATTTAAATCAAGATACATATTTCTGTCATTTATGATTTTATTACACCTCGCACAAAACTAAAAAGAATAATCTATTTTAGAGTTTCAATGTGATGAATACTAAGTATCGTTGAACTGTCGTAAGTCAATTATGGTTGCTCCCCCACCTCCAAAAAATAGGAATGTAAACAAATTTCCTTTTCAAACAGCAGTATATAATGTACAAAAAATATTTATAGCAAGTGAATATTTGAACTTAAAACTTAGAAGTTCGTTACGAGAAGTTGACTGTTCTACATTTAGTTTCCGCTGTATGTTTAATTAATATAGAGTGTGTCAACAACACGTTCGGACGAGACTGTAACCAGACCTGTCATTGTGCTAACCCTCGCTGTAACAGGACGGACGGTGTCTGTTCTGTACCTGGATGTACAGAAGGATGGATGGGAAACACATGCAGTCAAGGTAACGATTTTCGTATTGTCAGAAATAGAATACCGTAAACATGGTTATTTACGCTGGGTGAAAATTATTACGTGATTTGAAGGTCAAAACTATACGCGCGGGGATAATTTACGCGGTCGCGGCAGACCGACGTTTACTCTGCAGAGTTATCTCCCTTACTTTACAAAATGTGTACATGTTTACATACTAGTAGCTACTGAGTACATGTTACGTATGCGTACCTACTGGTCATTGGACAGATGAAAATAAAGGTGAACTGTATTCATGTGTATGTGTGTGTCTTAAACCAAATTCTGAAACGCGAATTCCAAGTTTGGTACTCTGCAAAGATCGCTTCTAATCCCGGGACATATCGGACATTTGTCTGAAAACGTCAGTTGGTTAACCACAGCAGGCCAAATGGGTAATAAAATGTCATTACCCTGTCGGTGATGAAACTGAACTACTCAAAACGGCATTTACCTGTGTAGGGATCGTTGCACACGACTACTAGCTGTTTGTGTCCCGTAGAACACGTGTGTGAGTGATGTGTACCGGACTTTGATGCACTCGGGTTTATTCATGACTTTCTCTGTGCCTTTATATATATTTTCAAATTTGTTGTTCATTAAAAAGTACAATTGTTCAAAAAGTTTATTTCGTTTGTTATTGTTTTTATTTTATAACATTACTATACAATGCACGTTAATTAGTAATACGTTTACAAAACAATATGACATGAGGACGTCACATACAAACACTCACACAATGTACCGATATATACCAGAGTTGTCGTTCCTAACACAATCGAAGAAACCATACGCGCGTGGGACATTTACGCGAACAATCCAGCCCCGCGTAATAAGCGTAAATTACCCCTGCGCGTAATATTCCACGTTTACAGTATTCATATTCATCTACCAAAAGCTTACATTCGAACAGCAAATATAAATCTACTTGTTGTTTGGTCATAGTTATGAAAAAATCGTTACAAATTGGTACTTTTCTAACATATCACAAAAATAAAAGTTTCTTTTTTCTGCATTGCATGCGTTCAATTCATACTGATGATGTAATTATCCTGAAATTACCAATTGAAGCAGACAGTATCAATGTTTAACGTGGATGTCAATTAGATTGTATCATAATTTTTATATAACAGAGTGTTTCAACCCTACGTTTGGACGAGACTGTAACCAGACCTGTCATTGTGCTATATCTGGCTGTGACAGAGTGAGTGGGGTATGTACCATACCTGGATGTACGGAAGGTTGGAATGGATACACATGTAGTCAAGGTAATGATCTACGCATTATCATAAATAATGTAACCAAACATTTCATTGTGCCACATCCGACTGTCACAAAGAAACATGGACGTGTGGAGCTCAGGGGTGTTCTGCTAGATGGATGGGTGTTACATGTGGTCAAGGTAAAAGAAGAGAAGAGAAGGTTCAATTCATTATCACAATCATTACAAAATACGTTTGTATAATGAAGTAATTGATACGTCTTTTTCTTGGGGTTTTTAAACAGATTTGCAAAAACACAATTATTAGAAATCTATTTTATCATATAAGCTTGGTACAATGTAATTATCGTGAAGTCACACACAACAGCAACTGTCATTATAATTAAACGTACATGTCAGTCAGATTTGAAAGTAGGTTTTATATATGTACAATATAGGGTGTGTCAATAATACGTTTGGACGAGACTGTAAACAGACCTGCCATTGTGCTTACTCAAGTTGTGACAGAGTGAGTGGTGTATGTACCATACCTGGATGTACAGAAGGTTGGAATGGAGACACATGTAGTCAAGGTAATGATCTACGTGTACATAAAACGTCAGAATGATGATATTTCTATTTATTACCCCTTTGAGAAAAATCTAGGAATCTGATTGGTTAAAAACTACAGTGTACCAAACCGCATTCGTAAATCTCAGGGGTATACGAAAATCTCAGGGGGTATACGGTCATGTCACGTGATTCTCAGCAGTAATATGGTGGAATCATGTGATTTTACAATGGGTATACGGGTCACGTGTCTTTGTATCTTGCGGCCGGGCAACGGGAGACAACTCGCATTCGTCGTCTGCTTCGCTGTTTACAAAATGGTAAAACGTTCCGCTTCGCATACTGATGAGGAAATACTCGCCAAAAGGGCTAACGATGTGCCACAAAACACACAAAAGTCGAACAGACGAGCGGCAAACATGCGGAGGACGTATTTAAAAGAAAAGAATCAGGAATTCAGGAGTTCGAGGAATTTAATAAAACGAAACTAAATGAGGTACTGTGCCATTTTTATCTTGACAACAGAAAAGTTGACGGGGAACTGTACAAAACCCATATAAAAGACTCAAAGGGGTAATAAATTCGTTACACGGATGTTTGGCAGTGTATACGGGATGGTATGACCCTACATGATTTCGTATTTCCTTCGGCCTATCGGCCTCAGGGAATACGAACCCCTTTAGGGTCATACCATCCCGTATACCCTGCCAGAAATCCGTGTAACTAATATTAATAGCTGATGACTGATACCGCACTATGCTGGATACAGTAATACCTGAGTGAACGACGACAGTGTGTTTCCATCGGATCTGCCACCTCACATGACAAAGTACTAGATTTCGGGGTTCCTCAAGGGTCGGTGTTAGGACCACGAAAATATTGTATGTACTCCAAACCGATTGGAGAGATTTGTCGTCGCCATAGCCTTCGCTACCATTGCTATGCTGATGACACACACATTTACATGGTCATAAAACCACAGGACAGTTGGAATACAGTCTCAGAAAGTCTGGAAGCTTGTCTGACAGATATCAGCATCTGGATGAACGCCAGCATGCTTAAACTTAATCCGGAAAAGACGGAACTAATCGTCTTTTCCCCAAAGTGTCAGCAAACAATGGCTCTCCAGCTCAAGGTTGGTGCCAGAACTATTGAGACTGTTCCAGCTGTTAAAAACCTAGGGGTATACTTTGACAATTCTCTGAACATGGAGAAACAAGTGAACGCGATTGCCAAATCCTGTTACTACCAGATCAGGAACATCGGCTGTATTCGGCAGTTTCTAACTGCAGATGCATGCAAGATTTTGATGCATTCACTTGTTACCTCTCGGTTGGATTATGGTAACGCCCTGCTCTGTGGTATATCTGACAAACTAACTAGTCGTCTGCAGAGGGTTCAGAACACTGCACGGCTAGTTAATCGTACTCGAAAGAGAGAGCACATCCTCACACCTGCGCTTTATTCGTTGCACTGGTTACCTGTACGATACAGGTCGCAGTACAAAATTCTGGTATACACATACAAGGCACTGAATGGAACAGCTCCTCAGTACCTACAGGAACTTGTTACCCTGTATCAGCCGTCAAGATCACTGCGGTCGGAGTCAGAATCTTTGTTGTGTGTCCCAAAATCTCGTACTGTGACCTACGGAAACAGATGCTTTGGGAGGGTTTCGGCTACGTTGTGGAATAGCTTACCATCTGCTATTAGGAAGTCGAATACCCTGGCCAAGTTCAAGAGAGACATGAAAACTCACCTCTTCACGTCTGCATTTTAGAATCTTTGCAAAGACGCCATGTAAATACCACCCTTTTATTTGTTCAATTATGTGCACATTGCTTGTTAAATGTATGAAAGTGATTGCAAGCCTTTGTTGTTTGTTTTCACAATTATAACCATTACTATTATCCATATGTTGTAAAGCGCAAATTATACAATTTTACAAATTATATAGGGCGCTATATAAATGCTGTATATTATTTTATTATTATTATTATTATTATTATTATTATTATTATCTGCCGTCAATTTTATTTCGACTCGTACAATAGTATTAGAGAAATGTGACAGATTTTTTTTCTGCGACACATATGTGTGGATATTTCACCTATAAATGAAAAAAATACTTTTTAATCACAATGACGTCATCGTTTTTATATGGTTTTATATACAGAATATTCCGCTGGATATTTTGGATTGAATTGTTATGAGATGTGTCACTGTAAGGAAGGGAGATGTGACCACCTTGGATGTCAGGAGGGCTGGTCAGGACAGGCCTGTGATCAACGTAGGTTTATTAATACATTATTGGTTAACTGCATTTTTTTTTTATCACAATTGAATATGTGTATGAGAATAAAGTAAACCGCATTGAAAATATTACTGCATGTAATATTTATCGCATTAGATGTTGGGTAAAATGTATGATGTGATATGTGCTAAGTTAAACAAGCTTGTAACCTTTACCTTGTAATCTGAAAAAGCAATATCAAAAGCTTGGTTTGGATAAAGTAATTATTTTCAAAAGGTAATAGTGATATCAGTTTCTACTAGATACGAAGCTGGGGTCCAGCAGGAAGTTGGTTAAGATTTAGGGAATGGAGGAGTGGACTATTAGCATACTCATTTTAAAATGTATAATTCATGATGTTAATTATGATATTAATGAATCTATCGAAAAGTAACAGCAGCTCCTTTGATAATGATATGATAAACGTTTTTTTAAAGATGTACTCTTTTGATGTTTCAATAACGTTCAAATCTCGTTTTGATCTCATGTAAGTTTTTTTTGTAACATTTAACAAGTTATGATCAATTTTGATAGCAACCAGGCATCTGAAAAAAGTGTCAAAAATTAAATGCCTGTTGTTTGTAGAACTTTTTTTACAAGAACTTTACAAACAATTACCACTTCGGGGGCCATTATGAAAATGTGTACTTCTTAAGCTTCTCGAAAGGCCATAGTTTTAACTTTTTGACCCTGGATTGATGACTTAAATCAACATTGTGTCGCCATTTCTTATTGTAGCAAGTTCATTTTTGTTGAACAATTCAATATGCCACAAAGTTGAAAATTAATCATTTGAAGTTATTTTAAACTTAATATTTTAAAAAGTTTAATAAAAGAATTCGAAAACGTCTTTTTCCTTTGTCAAGCAAAGAGTCAAATGACCAGTGTCTCGACTCTAAACCGCTAAAAACAACTCACTAAGCCACAATGGACGAAATCAGTCATGTTCACTAATAGTTGATAAATATTTATTGATAAATTGACCTTTGACCATTGTTGACATCAATTGATCTTCGGTATATCTTTTCAAACACTAGCAAATGTAAAGTATAACATATCAATTAATATTGATTATCATAATGACCTTTGGTCTTCGGTGACCTTCAAATTGCCGTTTGGTAAATTTTGTTTCAATGTAACATGTTCAATTAAAACCACAAATTTACCTTTGACATTTGGTGACGTTTGACCTTGGTGACCTGTAGATTGACCTTTACCATAATTCTGCTTTGTTATTGTAGTATGTGTAAATTGAACAATTGTATTGTATTGGATGATAATGTTGGTCAGTTTGATCTTCCGTAACCTTGATATTGACCTATGGTATCAATTTGTTTTGTCATTAAATATTTAAAAAAAAAAAATGTGTTGGCTTTGGCACACAATCAAAGGAAATCGATTTTATCATATAAGCTGGGTAAAATGTACAATGTAATTATCATGAAGTCACACTCAACAGTAAATGTCATTACAATTTTACGTACATGTCAGTCAGATTCGATAGTTATACATTTGTACAATATAGGGTGTGTCAATAATACGTTTGGACGAGACTGTAACCAGACCTGTAATTGTGCTATATCTGGCTGTGACAGGGTGAGTGGGGTGTGTACCATACCTAGATGTAGGGAAGGATGGTCTGGAGACACATGTAGTCAAGGTAATGATCTACGCATTATCATGAAAATAGTGTAGCCAAACATATCATTGTGCCACATCCGGTTTGATGCGGTAAAATAAAGTTAATCAAGTGGTTTTGGTATGTTCCGGTTCAATATATCACTTGTATTTGAAAATATTGCATACATATCTAAAAATCAGGACTTCAGGATTTCGCTTTCTTTTTCCACACTTTTCTACATTCTCCCGATATATCGCTCAACATTACATCCACGTCGGTCCGTTGTTTCTAGGGAGAGGAATGCGTTTATCAATAATGAAACCTATCAGAAATCAACATGAATTGATACCTTATGCATTACTAATAATATTCATTGTTCGGTTTAAATGTATGACGACACAGATATAGTTTTCGAAAGAAAACTAAATAATCTTCACTTGCAAAACTTAACTGGCAAATGCAATGCAAAGATTATATCGTTCCGGGTTGTACTAATCATATTTCATTGTTTTGATACTACCCTTTTAGCGATATAACGGTGAAGTATATTTTTCAATGACTTTTTTCAAATACTGGATGAATATATTAAGTGCGTCTCCTAATGGAAAAGGATAGTTGGATTTCGCTGATGAATTTTCCTAAAAATGTATAATTACTAAAAGAACAGGGGTCCCTTCTCCTGTCCAGCCAACATTTTATCATCCTCGATATCCAGGGATTACGCTCACTTTCGTTCTCTACACCCCTTGAATATGTCATAGAAAAATTGATGCAAGATTGAATTGCAAAAATACAACCCCTCTCGTGGGACCCCCTTTGTCACTCCTTGTGGTACAATAAATTATTCTGCCACGTTTTGAAATCATCACGTGACGTTCTCGGCGCTATATGTTATAGGGCTTTCCAGTACAAATTGTTTGTTTAAACTTGACATAAGTAATGGACCTTGAATTTGGGGAAAGAAGGTAACATTAATGGCAGTGCAGACAACACGTACATTCAATAACTGAAATATTGTTTTTGACGGTATGTCCCTTAAATAAGGGCAAATATTTACATTTGCATGGCATTGTCACTATATAGCCTCTTTGAAAGCGGTGTCGTTGATTGGACTTTAATAACCATGCAGCACGAGACACAATTCTTAGCGTATTGATACAACACTAACCGGAACTACAATATCCAATGTAAATAAACATAACGGCTGCTGAAATATCGCTGGGCATTGTGAGACTTGACAATGTAATTGTAAATTTTCGTGCAAAAGAAAAAGAAAGTTTAAAAAAGATACTTTTATTACAACAAAAACAAGACCATGGTCTGCAATATCGTACAAAATGCACATCGTTTGAAATCATCAATGCCGGCAATGGAAACAATTTTAAAACTCATGCAATTTATCAGAAATATCGTCCGTTACACTGCACTAATCAACAGGGGTTCGTTACAAATGTCTGAAATAGATATATTCTATAGACCTACTGACACATATGTCACTGACCTACTGATATGTGAGTTTTCCGTTTCATCACACACCTCATAATTTGTGTTTTTATTTAAACAAAAATGAAATCGTGTGTTAATGTTTTGACATAATAAGGACATCATAGTACGTTAACTCGCGTTGTTTGGTGTTCGTGTTCATCTAACTACCATTACTTGTTTTCCTTATTTAAATTGTGTAACTCGATATGGACAACATTATTCTCGAAGGCAACTGAAACATGAAATTGGAAAGGGGATACATTCATTTGCTGCCATTGCAGTGTATACAATCTTTGCGAGGTCATTTCAACTTATTTCTGGAGTTAAAATACGGTAATTGTGTTAAGACAGATATTACAACAATATAATTACAATAATCTTACAGATCTTTGCGTATAGCGAAGTTGCTGCATCGTATGTAGGAAAGTGAAACTTATCTATTGTCAATATCTCTTTTTTGTTTCGTTATTTCCTGGGTTTCTAGTTTTGGTTATTTATTTTGTGTTTGTTTAGTTTTCCATTATAACTAGTGTGATGGCGTTTGAATACAAGTTCACGTCTTCTTATTTTGGTCTCTTATTAGCAAAAAAAAGAAAAGACGAGGAGCCAGTGACTCTCAATCAATAATGCCAGGGAAACTTCTATCAATAATAATAATTATTCGAGGTTCTTATACACCGCTTTATCACAACTTAGTTCGTAGATCGTCCCACAGCGGTTCACAAATAATTATCCTTGATTACAGGGCCTTACCCAATATCTTTCTCAACTCCTCGAGGAGCATACAACCGGTGCTGCCATTTCGGCGATGACAGATAGAAGTCAACAATTTTAGCACTGCCCAACCACGTACTCATTTCCAGCTGAGTAGACTGGAACACGCGGAGTAAAGTATCTTGCTCAAAGACACAACACAGTACAGAGCCGTGAATTTAATTCGCAACCTTTCGGTTCATGCAGTATAATATATTACTATAGTATAATACTGAGCTATTTTTTGTGCCTCTAAATCAATACTCTGACATCAAATGTTTATGATGGGAAAACATTTCCTTGCAACAATGCGCTGAGGTGCCAGTGAACCTCAAACAAGATTAAAGTCAATGATTATTGCAGTTGGCCAAAATTCAACAAATGAGTTCAAAGGGTTGTTCAAATGTAACCGTTCAAAACACAAATAATGATAGACTTAACAGTGTAGAGAACAAAATAATTCACTAAACCGTTTGATGAAATCAATACAATAAGTAATACAGGTGAGATTTCAACTGAATGTTTTGACTTAGGAGATGGTGGGCAGGGACAATGTCTTTGGAATACAGACTGTACCATAAGTCATAAGAATTGCATTTTGTTGAATATACATTTTTTTCTGCATAATAGACAGTATGCATTTTAACGGTATGTTTCTAATCCCAACAGTTTAGGTCTATGATAAAGTGAACCAACAATAGTCAGACATTTTACACACACTTAGACAGTACAACTATAGGTTTTAGTAGAATGCCAAAGGTAATATAATGTTTTACGAGTTGTTCATCTTTACACGTTAAACCATTATGTTAGGGCCAGCATACGGTATTTAAAAAAAACTAACACCCTGTAAAATGGATCAAATTAATGAAATAAAACCCCGTATTTTGAAAAAGAATTCCTTTGCATACAGGGGACGGGGGTTCGACCAGAAACGGAAAGGGCCTTATGAGCGGCAGCATGTGCTTAAACAGTTTATTCATAGACACGACCTTGTCATTGTAGCTGCGAAAATTCCCCACAAATCTGAATAAACACGATGCGATAATTATGATCACACGTGGGCGGATGGATGAGTGGTTCATCACTCCGGCCTTCCACGTAGGCGGCCGGAGTTCGATCCCCGAAGTCGTCTAACGCATGGAATATTCAGAGAAAGTGTTTTTCTCCTGCCCACACACAACACCAACAACCCATGTGGAGTATAAATTGATATTGGGTGGAATGTGCGGTATCTGAGCTGCAGCATTCAAGTGAGGTGCCACTATAAATAATACCGTTGGAAGCATGGTCCTCCTGCAAACAGAACACAATACATATCGAGCACACGCAGGCATACACACATAGGGAGATATTAGCCAGGTGGCATATGGCTAGTAGTTAGCGCCTGCTAAGGCAGCTCCTACTAATTCCTTAAAATTGTATTGATTAAGGACTATCGAAAAACAAGATTTCTTAACAGCATCATATTTGTTAAAGGCATTCTATATTCGTGGTACTATCGTATTATAGCAATTATTTCTGTATAGATGTGTTGGTGTTACCTTTCACAAAAATCATAATATGGTGACGTCAAATACTAATCATAAACACTATCATAATGAATGTTTATAGTACATTTTAGCGTTTAATCGTTCAATTTTACATTCAGATATATAACGTTGAATTACTGCGCTTTAAAACAAGAAATTGATTTACCCTGTAGATCGTGTATACCTTCCTGACTTTGAAATCAATGACACTACAGTCACATTCCTTGATTTTTTCTTTCAACCTGACCAACACGAACGCTAATTACTGACCAGTTTTATTAGCATGACGATTCCAATTTTCCGATCGTAAATTTTCCCTCCTTTTATAGTAACATCCATTATTGTCAAATATATACTAAAATATCATGATTTCCGTGCTGAATGTCGACTGCTGGCGGAAAAAAAAACTTGCAACCCTGGGTTTCCGGAGATGAACGCTACTGCAATAATCTTGGCCGCCACCAGGATCCCATTTGGATATATGCTATTTCTTTGCGTGATGTGAACGTAGATGCTTTAGATTCTGCTCATAGGAATGCCTTATTGTTTCTTTGTCATTGCCCAGTCATATATTATATGACTTGCATATTCTTTGGGTTGCTGTAAAAGTAGAAAGCACCTACCTAACCGTAGATCAATATAGTCCTACTGTAAACGTATGGTTTATTTAGATTACTTAACACACACTGTAAGTTCACATCTTGCGATATATATATTTAAGCATTGAACTGATTTCAGTTGGCATTCAAAGGCGATATGAATGCCAAATGGACAAAGGCAAATTCAATGAAGCGCGCTAGCGCTTCATGTTTGATAATATATATATCGTGTTTGCTTGTTCAATGAATAGAACAGCCATCGCCCAGAAAAGGTCAGTGGTATCCTACGTAGCAATAATGAGGTCATAATAATGATGACGTCAACAATCGGTCCATGGCATTCATAGCCTATACGAATGCCTACTGAATTTGGTAGGGTTATATAGTGGCAATGCCATACGATGGTAAATAAATATATATATGAAGATGTCAATCTTTCGGAGCGATACGCTCCTTTATTGAGACACAACATAGAACAAGGGACACTTACATTGCAATGGAATGAAATAGAAATAAACGGTAATAGAATATGACACATGTATGGCTAATATCAAATGCAATAAACCTATCGGCTATCGTAACACGAAGGCAGATTTTACAATGACCGCATAATTGACCAAGAATACTGTTTATCAGATTTTTGTTTATTGTTGATTGACTTTATATGTTATTTATTCATTGTTATTTATTTTATTTTATTAGAGCAAATTTCTCAAAATCAAACAGAGGTTATTGGATGCTTTGCTAGCCTTGCAGTAAGTACAATTAGGACAGAAACATAGGTACAAAGTATGGATATATAGGGAGTTTATTTCAAACGAAAAATTGAGTTAAGATTGTTGTATTTTGAATACTCCTATAATTATCAAATTTTTGCTTATTTCAACACAACATTCGAATAATCATTGCTCAATATATTACCTTTTACGATTATAAAAACATGTGTCGTAACTATCTAGCTTTACTTACAGAATACTAAAGACGTTACCGGATACGCTATACTTGGGACTGTTTTAGCCATTTCCATATTCTACAACATTGGATTGACTATGTTTTGTCTAAGACAATCGTAAGTACATGTATATACGACAGACCATATATGTGCTGATTTAACGTTTAATACTAGATAATTAAAAGTGTTTTTTATACCTTATTTTGCACCATATCTAAACACTGTCATGGTACTGTATTTACTGATCAAGTTGTACACTATAATCATCGAAATGATTCTATTTAACAGCAGGAAGATCAAATCACCCCCTAAACCGTCAACAGCCTATGAAATGCAGCCAAACAGTAAGTTGAACAACCTATCTGAAACAATCATCGGTAAAATGTAAAATATGAGGACTTGTGAAACCAAATAAATTTTAAAAAATATTTTTTTACTAATTATATATTATTATTATTGATTAAATATCAGAATACAAGAATAGGTAAACATGAATGGTAATCAAAGTGTGTACTTTTTTATTTTCAGGTGTATCCCAGGATCATTCCAACTATGAAGGTTTAGACATAACAAAAGTAGATAACGTTAAAAACATTTATGATACAATCGGGAAGTAAAGAAGAATCTGTAGCGACTTTAACTAGTGAAAACGATGCAAAAAGACTCGTGGCAAAGAGTGACATGATGATTCTATTATTTGATTACATAAAGCAGTATGCATTAAAGTTGAATCTAAACTGACGGTAAAAATATCCAAAACATCCCCGTGCCAACAGTCATTCAGCTACCGCAATGTAACTAGCATGTCCCTGCAGGTTCGGAAAAGGAACAATCCATAGATGCACATACCTGTGTAATAAAATATAAATCCCAAATACACACTTTACTATCACCAAGTGCCATGGCTAACGTAAAAACATGTGCATACTATTTCAAATTGTGTGATTTTCTGGTTTAACCTTTAAATTGGAAGGTTTATATTTCATAGCGTTATATTGTCTGTGATATCCGTATTACTAATGGCCAGAACCGATTGAGACAAATCATTCTACAATAAGTTGTACACTTATTGTACATGAAGATGTCAAATCTAAGACTCCCCAAATATAACTAGATTCTCAATTAAAATATTCTATGTCAGATGTATCTTGTGAAATCCATAAAAATCGTAATGCTGATTGGAAAGTGTGTACGTCATAATAGATGGCAAACTAAATCTTGTTAACTATCGTGTTTGTAACGTTTGTATATATATATAGTACTAGACTTGCCATGCTGTGTCTATTCATGTTGACCATGTATTGCTTGTAGCGGGTAATGAATCAGTTTATTGTTGTTTTTATAATTCTGTTATACTTTCCATTTATGTGAATTACTTTGCATTGTTATATGCCCACTCAGGTCACAGTCGAATTACAGATGGGTGATAATTGACCATAAAGACAAAGTACATACTGAAAGAAGATTTGATCTTGAACATTATGATATTGAAATGATATGGAATGAAATATTTTTTTAGGATGTATATATAGACCTTAATCAAAGTACCACATCACTTAACATCATATTATCTGCAGAAATAAATGTAAATATGTTAAATATACCTACTAAATGTAACCATCATTTGAATAGGTAAAAGGCAAAACATAACTTAGCAAATCTAATCAATAAACCTTCTAGGGTAACATAAACTAATGACACTGCTATTGCTATTTCATTCAGTAAGATATTAATCTAACTTATAAAACATAATACAGTGAATACACCAATGTGTAGTGATCACTATGTTTTTTTTTGTTTACCTGTTCAAACTATTTATTCAAGCAGAAAGCTCATAAAAAGTCAACCTGTGTTTTGAAAAAAACAGAAAAAGAGCTCTAAATAAAATTAATTGGGAAATGTTAATAAATAGTCTTGACTCGAATTATTTTGATAATGTTTTAACATATTCTATCAATAATCAAATACAAGAAGATATACCGTCCAAAACTATCGCTGCTGTCGTTTTCATAAAACATGGATGTATAATAATCGAGGCGCAAAATTAGACAATGAAATAGATTACAAACAGAAACTGTAAACACTGCAATTAGTTTGGAAAACTTTAGAAAGGCAAGAAATGAAGCAGTAGACATTGTTAGAGAAGCTAAACGAATTTATTATAAGAAAATGAAACAATAAGTCACCAATCTATACCTTCAAATAAAGGTTGGAAAATTGCTAAATCTGTCATGAACTAAAACAATGTATTAAACTATCTTTCACCTATATCTGAAGATAGCAATCTAACACATCATCCATTTGAAAAGGAAACTATCTAATTATCTACTTAAGCTTAATACATTTATCAACTTCCTCTGAAAATCTTGAAGCCCTTACTCTTCAAGGGAGGTTGTGGGATGGGAACACTATTCCCTTTAGCCTAGACAATATTATTATATATGAACAAGGCATGAAAGATCAACAGTTTTACTTAATGATAAATACAAATTCCAGGCCCAGATGACATGATACCCAAGATAATAGAAAGTAAGCACTTTCTCCAATATGTCCTTTAACTTTACAATGTAATAAGACTGCTGAAACTGGTATTATACCTCTTTCGTGGAAAAAAACTAACATTAATAAAATATACTAAGGTAAGGGTGCTCAAAATGACGTCTCTGACATTAGGCCTTTATCATGATTTATCATGTTTTTTTTGAAACAATATATTTAAATATTTATTTGAAAAATTTGCGATATCATAAAGAAACAAAAGTCATACTTTTTACCAAGAGACTCGACAGTAAACCAGATATCACCCATACATGAAACTATTGTAAATAACTTAGATCAAAATAAGGCAATTATATTTGTATTGTGTGGTGTGGTGCTAGTAAGGCGTTGATAGAGTTTGGCACGAGGGTCTACTTTTTAAATTGTCATAAAGGTTCAAATATTGCAATGGTTTAGAAATTATCTTTCTGATACGAAACAGAGATCATCAATAAGCGTTTAAGCATGTCAAATCTTATTTACCTCAAGGAACGGTCCTCGATCCGTTTCTATTTTTAATCTCTATAAACGATATAACAGCACTAGTAACATAAAACGTTTTTCTGATGATGCTTCTCTGGTTGATGTAAAAGACAATAATCAAAATGAAATTGTACTACAGACAAAACCCCTTATATTTCAACAGTGTCTTTCCCTACTCATGTAGAGAATTCAACCTCCTCTCTGCATATGATTTAAATGCAAATGCTTTGTAACAATTTAAAACTTTCATAAATTCCGATATTGTAAATAACACGAGCAATTATCAGCACATTCATATACTATGAGCCAAGACATTTTGAATAGGATAATTTGTCAGTTAAGAAATTATGCTAGCAGCCTAAATAGTGACATGACATGGACCATCTGAATGACACACTAGCATGTTGATATGGACTTTCAAATGAAAATGCAGATCATTTTATACTTGAATGCCCACTCTATTATACCTTTGGGATGCAATAACTACAAAAAATGCATGCTTTGGTGTAACTTTAAACCATGATTATTATAATCTTAATGCTTTGTTTAATAGACGCAAAATAGGCAGCACTGATATCAACATACCAATTTTACAAAATATATCTGACTGTATTCGTCAAACTGATAGATTCACTCACAACTAAAATTTACATTGAAAGTGATGTTAATATTGATAGTGTCGCTTAGCAGATGAATATCAATACTGATGTATACATATAAATATATATATGCGTATATATCTTCACAATATCTCTGGTACTCTGTCTGGACTTGATAGATATTGTAATTATTTATTCTTAATCCTGGTTTAATTATTCTAAAGATGCATGACCATTTTATAGTGATTTGCTATTACGGAATCAACTCCAATAAATTTATAAAAAATAACTAAAACATCCCCGTGACTCCATTATCATAATTATTCTCAAATATTACCCAGTAGGTAAATTGCCAACGTTATTATATACGATAATTGTTTGGCCTGTATCACGTGGATTTTATATCGGATGGATTGTCAACAAGTATTCATGATTCACTGTATAGCTAATATCAAATACGTAAACAGATATGATTGATTAGTAAAACATATTTATTTCATAAACTTAATTTGAGTTATCTCCCTTACACTGTTAATTTGGATTTTTTTATGACCGTATGTATGTAATGTTTGAAAATAAGTTTGGAAAATAAAGAACCCTAGCCTGATGCTAAATCCAATTGAAATAGTCAATAAAATCTGTTGAAATTAAAATTGAAATAGTTCTTATAGAACAAAGCTGTTTATTTAGGCTGTTTTCACACTTTCAATGTGAACCACTGAAAAAAAGGATCACTGATTATTGATCACCGCAGTACACTTATGTTAAATTATAGTGTATAATTTCTTTTTTTTTACGTTTTACTTCTGAGCATATAAGTATTAACATGGCTAGCTTCCATTTTTCTATAAACCTCCTTCTTTTGTTATATTAACGTATGGGAGCTTATTTCCAAATATTGTTTGTAAATAATTAAGTACGAAAGGAGACATTTCATATTTGTTATTTGTTTTTGCCGAAATGTGAATAAAATGAAGAGAAAAAAGGATTTTTTTTCTGGTATATATATGAAAAAGAATATCGGCTGAGGAATTTAAAACGATCGTTGTGATATTGAACTTACAATGTTTTAACTCTTCGAACATTACATATCATGTACAGATGCAAGTCCGCAGAATTTGTAAGTTTGTGATACAATACTTCATCCAAGTAAAATTATACATGATGACTTCGTGGCAATCCCAGCCATCACTTTCATATGTTTTGAACACAATGAAACACCAATAGTTGGTTTCATCCACTTTGTAAAGCAGCTGGCAGATTTCCAATCCATGGTCCGTCAAAAAGACAAACACTAATGACAAAAAAAAGTGCAACATTGCAGCCACATTTACTGAGAGTCTACATTCCCAGTTAATCTTTGTTTATGCTAGAACATCAACTCCAATACGTGGCGTTTAAAACTGTCGAAGACAGGTGAGGCCCATATATGATTACAGACAGTGTGACCCTAGACATATGGCAGCAATGATATCTCATTTACATGACAATACAACAGCTGACGAGCTCCTAGTCAAACGGACGACACCATAACGCGTTGGCACACCACTGAGAATGGTAGCAAAGAAAGACTCATCAAAAATCGGAAATCAGCGAGGTAACCAACATGGTTAAACCCATCACGATAATACGATATTTAACAGTTCAATCCTAATAAAAACAACTTGACAGCGAAAGTAAAATCTGCAAGTAGTGTTTCCACACGTCAAAAAAATACCCGGAGCCACACATCAATCCCCGCTTCTAGCTGGTCTTGTAACAACTATTATTATTTTGGTTGGCTGGTTGAGTTGGACATGGACTCGAGCTAATTGTTGTTTATGTTAGGAATAGGTATTTAAAAACATTTGCACGGCCAAATTGTTTGTTTTTGTCACTCGAAACAAGTTTTGTTGTTGTGAATATGGACCTGTATCGGATAGAATTCGTTATTTTTGTCCGTATAATCGACCTGCCGAGGAAGAAAGAACATACTGGTTAGTTTTTGTTCCAATGTGGGCCTTCGAGTGTTGTTGAAATTGACAAAGAAATACTATGACTTACTTAAGATCGAGGACAATGTGATCTGTTTAGGACAATAGTAATACACAAAAAGTATTGAAATAATATACTTTATGTAAATTCAAAACATCGTTAAAATTCATTGAGATTCCTGCCAAGATCTGTTCACTTGAAAATTGAGAGCTGTGCAAATAATCTATAACAATAATGTTCAATTGCTAAATTGATTTGATTAGTTTCAACAATTAAATAGGTGAACCTTAAAAAGGCGAATAGAAAATGTCCAAATCCCCATCCACTCTCTGGTTGCCTTTTGCCCTGTGCTAACTGGCATCAATAAATGTGTTTGTTCGTTGTTGTTTTAGATTGAATTAGCTTTACGTCAGAGTCATTTGTGATACTGAAAACGAACCAAAACTGAAAACAAATTCAGATATGATTGGAGTGAGTATGAGCCTTTTAGCGATTAAAACATATTAAAAGCGATTATAATTACTATATCAGAGCCGCGAACCGCACGTCCAACATCAAGGTCATCTTGAAGTCGTCAGTAATTTTAGAGTTAGAGTACTGAACTAATTGACTGTAACAGGTAAAAACAAGCATAATCATTCTGCAGTGCTATATCATATTGATAGGTTGAAAATAATGCATTTACTGAATGATAGTGTTAAGGTAATAAACTTGTTCTTTTTAATTATATTCTGGTACATGTATCTCCATTCCCTGAGCCTGCTTAGGCGTGGAATGTGTGAACACTCAACACACCCATGTTCAGTGACAGCAGAAGGCCCAAGTCACATCTTTTCACCTGTGCTTTCTAAAAGGAATGTTTACAGGTAAGTGAAGTGAATTAATATTTAGATAATGCTTCTTCTCATTACGGTGTCATAGGGTTAATTCATGATCAATTTCCAGGTAGATATGCAGAAATTAAACGTGTCAGCAGTCACAGATTGAGTGTGTTACATTAGATGAAAACCAAAATCAGAACAACTACATCGTCTGAGAAAAGATTATCTTTTTTCATTTTTTGTATGCAAATGAGTCAACAAAGAATGAACGCAAAAAAATATATAAATCACATAAAACAAAAAGGTTTTAAATTATATATTGTATAAGCACGATGATATCGTTTGCAATATTTCTACTTCCATGTCATTCTTATACGTACATGCACATGTATTACCATGTGATCTGATGGCAAATGGATACAACCTGATACCCGGGTTGAAAGTCTTTTTTTCCCTAGAATTTAACTTTTTTTTTAAATGGTACGTATTTTTGTATCAGAAAGTTCATACGATGTACTTTCGTAAGAAGTTTGTAGAGTAACTGAAACAATATGGTGCTGCACTAATACTTCATTCGCTAGCAATATATACAAAATTCTGAAGATTGTTATAAACAACATATCATAAGGTTGGTGGTACACGAGCAATAAATAAAATTAGGCCTAAAATCATAATTTTATTCTGAATGTGTATTACAAGTAATTATCATAACGACCGTAGGTATATTAGCGTACAGTACATCTTGGTAAATATTAGAAGGAATACGACAAATTCTACAGGGAGATCAAATATTCAAATATTCTGTGATAAAAAAAAAAGATTGATCGAACATTTATTAATCCTTTTCATGCAAACAATTACACTAAAACCGATAAAAGCACAAAAAAGGGAAAACATAAGTAAAATAACCGTTAATTGTTTTTCACTTTATTTGATACAACACTGTATATGAAATATAAGTAAATAAAAACAAGTAATTTCCGATGTCACTTACATATAATAAATTGGTTATCTACGTTATAAATACGTTTTTACGCATAAAACCTTACATTTATAATGTATCGAAGGTATAAGCATCGGTTTCTGTAAAATCTCTCAAAAGTGATTAAAAACTTCACATCGACTGACTGAGAGCCTGACTGAAACGTAGCTGACGAAGGCTCGAATTAAAATTAAAATGAGAGTAGATTAATTAACAATACTTGTGTCATTCAACTCCAGAAGTGAAGTTAACCACGCTCCTACTATTGCACCTGTGACTCGATCACATAGGTATTATCTATTACCTTTTTACCACTTTGACAGGATTTGTTTTATTTTTCCTCACATCGAACGTGACATGACCGCACGGTATGATGATTTATCCAGCGTTTACACTGCAATATGAAAAACGGGTACAAAGATAACAGTAATACTATCAACCTACCTGACCACAGAAACATTCAAATGTCAATAAAGAGCTTAAGATCAGTAAACATATGATAACGGGTGCACCGCTTACAGTGCTCTCTTCCTGGTCGCTATCTACTGTATAACAGATAGTGTGAGTATGAAAAAAGGTTACAGTATTTAGGAGAAAAATATTCTCTTGTCAAATCACCCGAAGAACAGGATGGAATTAGTCAAATTAGAAATAATTGGATATTTCATGACTTTGCTCGTGCTTTGTTTTGGACCATGTTTTGTGAAATCTTCAAGTAAGTATGAGTGTCCGTATGGATTTTAAATGTATTGTTGAATGTGTTAGTTGTTTCGTGAAGGTAATTCTGTTGTTATTCTAGATACCAATACCAAATATGATACAAGAGACGCATAGTATAAATCAATCTCGTATCTTTCAAGTAACAGTAACAAATATTAAAGCAGGAGCATGTCAGTTTCCTCTCTGTAGTTCATTGTAACATGCATGTACCAGTATCCCATATACAGAAGTAACATTTGTCCAGCTTTCTCAAAAATAACATTATAGCTCCTAAGCTCTGAGGTAAAATAAGGGTAAGACAACCAAATAGTTACCCCGATGATGTGGATATCTCTGTTACATCCTGAAAGAAGGGGATGGCTTTTTCCAGACTTATTGATTGAGTCAGCTACAACTGCGCTTATAGTAGTCTGGCATATTGTATTTGCATTTGACTTATCCCGTCAAAAGATGGCTGTGTCGTCATAAGTTTTTATTCTTCTGACGTCATCATACTGTCTTAGCGGATTGTAGACATATTATACCGAAAGGGTGAAATGTTAAGCAAGTAAAACTTGAGACAATTTATTGAGGGTGGGATAAATAGTAGTCTGTTCATACCTTGATTGTATGGCAGGGAAATCTCGAAACTGGAGATAAATGTTGTGGTTGTCTAGCTCGATGCTCCTCCAATGTCCCCGTCTGCAGTTGCGTACCAGCTTTCCCTCCTAAGTAGTTATGTACCAGTCTCTCTTTCTCAGGAATCAAATACCTGTTTCTCTTCTCCAGTAGTTACATTCAAACCTCACCGATTCAGGAGTAATATTTAAGCCTCCCTTCCTCAGTAGTAACATACCAATCTCTCTTCCTCCGTAGTAACATACCAGTCATACCTCCTCACCAATAACAAACCATCCTCAACTCATCAGAAGTAATATTCCAATATCTCTTTCTCAGAAGTGACATAACACCTCCTCAGGCGTAACATTCTAGCCATACCTCCTCAGTAAACACTTACAAGTCTCAACTCTTCAGAAGTAAAATACTAGTATCATCTTCTCAATAGGTACATGCTTGCCATGCCTCCTCTAAAGTCAAATAACAATCTCCACTCCTCAATAGTCACACAGTAGTCATACATCCTCAGTAAAAACATCCCAGTCAAACCTCATCAGTAGTAACATACTAGTCATACCTCATCAGTAGTAACATATTAGCCATACCCCATCAGTAGTAACATAACAGTCATACATCCTAAGTAGTAACATACTATTCATACCTCATCAGTAGTAACATACTAGTCATACCTCATCAATAGTAACATACTAGTCATACCTCATCAGTAGTAACGTAACATACTTGTCATACCTCATCAGTAGTAACATACCAGTCATACCTCATCAGTAGTAACATACTAGTCATACAGTTGTGGGATCGCACAACGTTACACGATGTGCGGTGTGCGCACGATGTGTGCACGAAGTTCGAAAGATAAAAAATGGACGATCATTGCTTGCGCACATTTGTGCGGACGATCAACGAACGTTGTGCGATAACAATCGTGGTTGGTGTAATTTGAGGAATGACTTAACAATATATACGGTTTGGTGTTAGACATACCAAAATGTATATAAAAAAATAAAATGTTTCGATATTCTAGCTTCATCTACAAACCTTATCTTTCTGTCTATACTTTCTTAAATTTAGAAATGGCGTGTTTTTTAAACGACCTTAATCGACACAGGTAAAATTACAACACAGTCTCGGCAACACAGTTAAGCATATCCACTGTGTACCTGGACCGTAGTTTCCCCCGCCCGGGGCATTTACGTAACGCGCCAAGGTGTGAAAACCAGGTGAAGCGGAGCTTTAGATTAAAATGAATGCAAATAACAAATACTAAACGTCCAGTTGTGTTTTCATAACGGTGTATGGTATCACATATCATCTCTACCCGTCAGGCACATGCCGGTCACCCATCAAATTGTTATTTACCTGTTCTGTTACCTAGCCATGAGCCAAATCCATTCTTGACAGTCTAGCGGTCAATATAATACTGTGGTACATGCATTGTAAAATTGTACATAATGTTAATTACTGTGATGAGAAATTACAATACAGTGTGCATTTTTGTATACGAGCCTACCGTATTTTTTTCATTCCGCAATATTGATCAACAAATTGTACCAAATCGCACAGTTGTGCGGAGAGAAGCGCACAACGGGGCGAACGATTGTTAAATCGCCTAGTTGTGCGCACCATGTGTGGACTATGTGCGGACGGTGTGTGAACGATGTATGCACGGTGTGCGCAAGTTATTTTTGATGCGTTGTGCGGTCACACAACTGTACCTCATCAGTAGTAACGTACCAGTTATACCCCTTCAGTAGTAATATACCAGTCAAACATATTCAGTAGTAACATATTAGTCATACTTCATCAGTAGTAACATACTAGTCATACGTCATCAGTAATAACATAGCAGTCATACATCATCAGTAGTAACATAGCAGTCATACATTCTCAGTAGTAACATACTAGTCATACGTCATCAGTAGTAACATAATATTCATACCTCATCAGTAGTAACATACTAGTCATACCTCATCAGTAGTAACATACTATTCATACCTCATCAGTAGTAACATACCAGTCATACCTCATCAGTGGTACCATACTAGTGTCATACATCATCAGTAGTAACATACTAGTCATCCATCATCAGTAGTAACATAGCAGCCATACCTCATCAGTAGTAACATACTAGTCATACATCATGAGAAGAAACATGGTCATACACCATCAGTAGTCAAATTAAAATGTCCACTCATCAGTAGTAACAAGCAAGTCATTCATTCTCTGTAGTTTCATACCAGCCTCCCCTCCACGGTAGTAATATACCAGTCTTGCCTCCTGAGAAGTAACACTCTGGATTCCCCTCTTCTTTAGTAATATACCGGCCTCCCCTCCACCGAAGTAACATATCAGTCACACCCCCTCAGTAGTAACGTATCATTCATTCCCCATCAGTAGTAACATACCAGCCTCCCCCTTCTAAATAGTAGCATATCGGTCATACCTCCCAAGTAGTAACAAACGAATCATACTCCATCAGTAGTAACATGCAAGCCTCCCCTCCCCGGTAGTTACATACAAGTAATACCGCCTCTGTAGTAACATACCAGTCATACCTTCTCAGTAGTAACAAACCAACATCCCTCTCCTCAGTTGTAATATACTAGTCTCCCCTCCTCATGAGTAACATGCCAGCCCACCTTGCCTCAGTTGTTACATGTACACAGAAGTCTCCCTCTAAAGCAGTAACTCCCCAGCTGTGATATACCCTCTTACAGTACTCAGTAGCTACATACCCACCTCCATCCTCAATAGTGACATATCCGCTTCACCTTTTCAGCTGTAAGAAAATAGCATGACTCAGCTGTAAGAAACCTTCTCATTGGCTTCCTCTGAAGCCTTCTATGTAGCTTAATTTGTCTTTGTAATGTAAATTAACAAATATTGCAGAACATGTGTTACATGTACATTTAAATATAAGGTTAACTTGAATTGTCGGGAAATTGTACCGGAGATCTACACTGTATCAATTTCAGTTTCATATTATATGATCCTTCTTTGTATCGGTTTTACTATTTGAAGTTTTTTACCACTGATTAACCAGCTTATATTCGCTTACACTCTAATTTTGTCAGGAGACTTGGCTCGAAATAAAACTGCTACACAAAGTTCAACGTACAGTGATACTCAGTCCTATGATGCCGGTAGAGCAGTGGATGGAGTCCTCGGCATAGATGTAGGGGGTGGACACTGTTCTCATACAGGGACCAGACACCATCATGCTTGGTGGAAGGTCGATCTGGGAGATGTTTACCGGATACAGATGATCAACATTACCTACAGATATAGTCGTAAGTAGTCATATTGGAAACTTTTAATGTATGAGTATGTTTTAAGATGAAAAATGCCATGGTGTTGGTATTATAGTGACCACAGTTGTGCCACTTTAAATATTATGTTTATATTACAATCATGACATTTATGACTAAATGAGCTATCGAGTAAATGAACGACAATATTCATTAACAGGCACATTGCTAGTAGTGCCGAATTATCGCTTTAAATACTACACTTGTTGTATTTGGAAAATAAGTCGTCAATGACATATTCATAACCAAGCATTTTTGTATTGAAAAATTAGAATTGCTTTAAAATCCTCAGCATTAACCATTATATAACCAAGGACATTTATAAAGCTATAACTCGAATTACTGACATACGTGGAGGCTCCTGATTAAAAGCGAGACATACATGCCTAATCAATATATTAATACCTATAGATGAGATTTTGTGGCTATATCTGTAAAATAATTCAAGATGTGTGATTCCCGACAGCACGATTTCGCTGATATGTTAAATAAGACCTTAACTACAAGTTTGAAATAAAGGTTGATACATGTACTTCCAAACTTAAGTTAAATTAGCTATAAGTATGCATGCACGACTGAAATTATTTGTTTAGGAAAAAAAGGAAGAGTGTTCTTTTTTGGTGCCAAAGCAAAGAGACAATATGTTATAAGTCAACCACTATAATGTATGACATACAAATATTTTTACTATTCATTTTCACACTAACCGGCTTCCGTTACAAAGGAACAAATACGGCTAGCTATTTTCAATTAATAATAACAAAAAAAAATGTTTTCCGTCAGTTAACACTGACCTATAGAAATGTTTTTTATTGAAAAATATGAAATAAATTAGTTACTCAACTAGTGTCCTGTCTAGGTAATCTAATATGATACATTGCCTGATTTCAATGCTTGGGACATGAGGAGATTGAGTGTTAAAGTCTATAACATAGTGGTAGCCATGTCAGGAAGTACTTTGAATCACGTAACCACTTCATATTGCAAAAGACACCTTTTTTGTGTGTAACACCATTATTGTGTGAAACTGGCTGTATGTGAGTGTGATTTTTGTATTTTAAATAAGGCGAGGTGTGTGGCAGATTTTAATCATACATGGGATTATGGTCGCATTCTAGCTTCACACAACATGACATTTCCTTTTAGCTTAATCGGTAGAGCGGCGGACTGGGTCTCTGCTTTGATCCTAGGTAGAAGCACAGTACTCTCTAATCTAATAGATAACCTTTGTCACTATATTGAAATATTTAAATGAGTTGTTTCCTGAAGAAGTGATTATATGTAACACATTTAAGATAAAAAAACAACAACAATTTATTAGAAAATTTAGTAAACAAATTATGAAACAAAAAAGAGAGGGGGAAAAGAAAGTAGGACTCGGTGTTACGGATCACGACCAGCCTTATTTATTTTTGTATATGTTCCCTGTGATAAACTACTATGGATGCAAACTTCATTCAGATGAAATAAGGAAGTCGTGTGCGATAAAATATTTGACATATCCTCGTCCTGCATTGTAGCATAGTCAAGAACGAATGTTTTTATTATTTTTATTCGTCACCTGTTGAAGTCATATGTAATGGTCCTCATGTTAGTACGGACGTTCCGTTTTATAGTCCGCTACAATTTTCAGTAATTCAGTTATTCTAACGGACCAATCCGTCTGTACCATATTGTCTAAATTATCGCCGAATCTATGAATGTCACGGACAACTTCAAAATACAAGCTTCTGATTGTTGAAACTTGATCTGGGACAGTCTTATGTATAACGACCACTGGCCTAGTGTAAGCAGCAGATAAAGCTTAGATACAATGTCTGATTTAGTCGATCGTTGGGTAAGTGCGTCGTTATCAACATCATCACAGTAGGGAATAACCACGTGTGCAGGCTCACCAGCTGATCGGTATTTGTTTACGTCTGGTTGGGACGAGTAGGTGCATTATTGGTAACTTCCAACCGGCAAACAGTCAAAGGGAACAAACTCGTACAAACGTTATCCCTTGTAACATTGTTACATTATCCCTATGATAAGGTACTGTGAAAACTTGGGAGGAATGTTTCATCGGGACATAGATCTATACCATATTAATTATGGTAGAGCCATCTCCATTCGTATGTGCTTGGGTGGATCCAGTATTTCTAAACAAGATTATACATGATGTAGAATCGATTTGTCATATTCTTTCTCGATGATTTTAAATATTTTTGGCATCCGGTCAATCAACAAAACAGTTTCATAGAGAAATTTTACAAACATTATAAGCAATAGTGATCTAAAAACGGATCCTTATGGGATTTGTGACGATACTTGTGTTCATTCAGACTGCTTGTGGTTTCCTACAATGTACCAACCTTTGCGTTCTGTTCTGTAAGAGGTAATGAATCCATACTAACATTTGGTTTGAGAAAGTGTCTGCCTTCAGCTTCTTTAGCAGATTTTTGTGCGAAACAGTGTCCAATCCTTATTTTTAATCTTAATCACTGCAGTATATTGATATTACCATATAAATAGCGTTTTTTTTTTACAATATGTAATATTCAAAACGAATATTCAGTACACACAACTATATACTTATCAACATGATTAACTAGGATGGCATTAAACAATGTTTCCCTTATGCCATCCCTTTAAATTCTTTACCTTCAAGTGCAAAAACAACATCCATTACTCGGGCCGTGAACCGACGTCGATTGGCGTTAACCTGGCTTTCGATAGATATATAGTTGACCACATTTTCTCCCACCCTTCACAGGTGTTCAATTGTGACGTCATTAAAAAAGTGAACGACGATATTCATACCCCACATGGTGTCTTTGTTTACACCACTGGCGGTGGAGTTGTGACTAAAATAACAGGATGGGAGAAAAATAATCACCCCCTACCTTAAGGGTGTAACAGAGAAATATCCAACCCTCGGGGGGATATTTTTGGTTGTCTAACGCTCGGCAGAGCTTCGGGTTAGACAAACAAAAACATCACCCCTCGGGTTAGAGATTTTTCTGTCACACCTTCAGGGTAGGAGAAGATTATATTAGTCATCCCTAGGGGAAGATAGGGGAAGCCTCGTGCCGATGAGCACGTGTTCAATTGTGACGTCATAAAATGTGTCACTGCTGTTATTGTGACGTCATCAAAAGTGAATAACGATATGTGTTTTTCACGTTCACAAACTGTCGTAGTATAGCGGTTACAACTATTATCCGCACACAGTTGTCGCACTTTCAGATAAGTCTATAAAACTCCGTGTTTGGTTCCATGCTTTCCTTACTGTTATAACGAGATCTAAAAGATTTTGGATGTCACTTACTCTCCACGTGGTTGGATAACACAGAAGTTGCATAGAAATACAAAACATGACGAATACTGTCAAACCCAGCTAGAGAAAATGTCTCATTTACTGATTTTCAAAAATATTAAACAACGGATCACGGGTTGGAGTAATTTCCGCTTCAAATGAAAAACAACCCTAATGTGTTTATGCTATCAATCTCTTGAATAAGAATGGGTATATTTTTTATAGTTTGAGTTTATACTTTTTGTCCGAAACACTAGTATATTTTAAAATTACTTCATGTGGAGTTATCGTTAAGGGTAAAAATCTGATATATTGAGTCCCCCGTCCTGATACAAATACAAACATATACTCACGCATTCCTGTAATAGTTGGGATCTATGTGAGGTGTTCGCAATGTTATTGGATACTTAATCAAGGTACATTACTCGAAATTATATTTCAAAATAAAACTGATAATGACAATATTCCAATAACGCAATCAGATCTTTTTGTGCCATGTAGTATCATCGTTCGGTACTAAAAACGTGGATGACAGGTTCGATAGACCACTTTACCAATTTACTAGTTTACCTTACCTTCATTTGAAGTAATCGTGTTAAATCTACTAGAGTTTATGTTACCGTAAAAATAGATTTTAAAATAGTTTCTTTTTGTGGTTTACATTTAGTATGGTACGATAAACTTATTATGGTAATATCGTATAAAGCGCTGAAGTAGTACACAGAATATCATAGATGCAGAGTCAGAAAGATTTATTAATGGAATGATTCGGAAGGATTCCACTTCATGGAAAATTACTCCAATATTTGTTCTACCCGAATCATATAAATGATACTAGTCATAGCACGGTGGGATTAGTTGTCCATCATATTCTGGCTGATGTATACATGTAATCGTCCCGTTGATGGCGCAAGAATAGATGAACATGTATTTTTGTGCATTTTAAATAATGTTGTTTGTAGTATTCATTTTAATTCCAATTGTTTTTTTTCTGTGATGAAAATTCTTCGAAATAGTAAAGGACATGTGAATAATTCAAAATCTATTCACGACCCATAAAGAAATATTGGGTCACTGTGTCAGATTAACTAAAGATCAATGTTCTCTTTATTGTAAATGTTTAAAAAGTTTTTTTTTTGCTATGACATCTCATTGTAAGTCTTTACGGAGTTAACGCTGTATCACAACTAATCCGTGATATTTTAAACCCCGCCCTCCCTCATACATGTAAACAATTTTCAACGTCAGTGCAAAATATGACACCGGCTACAATGTCAGTGGAGGTCAATTGGCACAACCTATCACAACTGTTGCAGGTTATAGATGTACGGAGATATTTTAACCATCGATTTATGTAAAAAAAAAATGGTAGTTTGGAATTCGGACCCGAAGGATCAAGTGAGCTATTGGGATGGTACGCTTTTGTCGTAATGTCGTCTGTAAATGATTTCTCCTGAATAAATAAGAGGCTTAGGGTATGATATCCAGCAAGAAACATACTGGGAAAAGAGTATCAAATTTGATTAGATAAATGACATTTACCGGATGTTTTTTTTTGAATTTACAAGTCATGATGTCATGACACTTTATCAGAAGTATGCTGGAGTAGAAAGGTTTATAGGAATATTTACGCAGATGACCTTGAATCTTTGTCAAGGTCACAGGGACCAACTATGTTAAAACTTTTAACGAATCTTCTAAAAAAACGAAGACTAAGGTAGAGAAATGAAACACTCTATGATCAAGGACAATTGATATGTTTTTCAGATTTATAAGCATTACTCACTCTAGTTCCTACAGTTTATTTATATTTATACATGTTGATATCTGTTTAGTAACAGTTTTAATAGCGACTGTTAAATTCGAATCGCATAGGTGCGTCATTTCCATTTGTAAACCAGATGATATATGTACATATCAAATTCGCAATAAGTTGAGGTTATGCCCCTTTTCATATGCGTCAAAGTATGAGTTTTCTTAACAAATGATGTATATGTTAAATATTATGATTTTAAAATAGGTTGCATGCATCCTGGCAGTATATTCGGGTAGGTACGTTAAGTCATTATTGTTTACTGTATCCCTCTCTTCGGCTTGAAAGACATATTTGTTGGTCAGAAGTCCACGGACAGCTGCCGCTAAAACGTATGCTTATACAGTTAAAACTTTCTTCATTGAAGATAAAAAATGACTAGAAAACATTGTCTCCTGTCGATTGCTCGACATGAATTGTTCACAAGGAGTATCGAACTTAGGTATTGTCATGAATAATTCTGTGATAAAATTATGAAAAAGAAACTTTCTTCACTAAATTGTCCCTTTCATGTCCCTTTAGTATTGTCATGAATAATTCTGTGATAAAATTATGAAAAAGAAACTTTCTTCACTAAATTGTCCCTTTCATGTGACATTTTCTCCATTATTTTGATTATGTGTGTATCTTAGTATTTTTAATGCATGTGCAAAACCTTTAAAAACTTCGTCTGAATAACATAAATGCCTAATTTGGTCTTGATATTTGTCCCGTAGCAGGAAGGGATAAATGAATGAAGTTGACTTACATTTGTTAAGGTAGCAGGGACAAATTTATTGAAATATTTAACACAGGTAGTTTAACTGACTTGGTATCAATTATGTTTACGTGAAATTGACTTTGAAGGTTACAGGCTGGAAATAACATTGCATAACAGGTAAACAAAACTGGCTTATTAGATCTAGTATCATTGAATATTTATATACGTTTGCTTAAAATATTATCTTTTCAGAAACAACTCGCCTTAAAGGCTACAGTATATACGTAACAAACAATACTGACATGACACAGGCTATTGGATCTATCAGCAAACAGTCTGGTCATTTGTGTTACCATGACACTGAGTCTGGGACGCCAACGTATAATCAGTCACGTGAGTGTCATGTTACCGGGAGATACGTCGTGTTTTACAACACAAGACCAAATGAAACTGCATACATTGAACTCTGCGGTGTCTAGGTCTACGGTGAGTCTAACTTTAAGAAAAAGATATCTTTCAAGTGAATATGTGGTTGCATAATCATTAACTAGCACAACAACTGCCTCCAAAATGGGGTTTTAACTACATGTGTAGCTCACTTAAAATGTTGACATACCGATACCATTGATGTATTGTGATAACATGTGTTTGAGTCAGATGGCATTTATGACTAAACCATTATATTAATTAGCGCATGTATGAGAAAAAATGCCTTGCATAGTTTTCATTATTTTGCAATATATTTCAAGCACTGTGAGATCCCTCATATATACTTTGCAACCTTCGCACTGCAGTTCAACCTTAGCTGTTTACAAACTACATGTATATGGGCTAAGCCTATTATAATGATCCAAGATTTGAGTAGGACGTAACGTAGACGGGAAATGAAGAGCCAAAGACAGTGTCATGTGCTAGCAATAGATAGTTTTCTTGATGATATAAATTGGTGGCTGTGAAAATGAAATAATGTATAAGATACTTTGAGGATGTAATGGTTTTAAATAAACAGAAACGGCCTGCGAAGTAGTAATGGTTAATGGTATATGCTTCCCCCTCACGCGCACCCCCCCCCCCCCCCCCCCCTCCTTGTTCAATGTTAAACCCTGTACTGTTGTAAGGCATAACGCGGGCTATTAGAAAACAGATTGTCATGATATTGTACAAAATCTTGAAGTTGTATTCGATACCTTCCAATTCTTCTATCGACGATCGATATATCCATGTAGCTTCCGTGCAGTTCTATAATACCGAGAACGTAAAGCTTTCACCAGCATTATAGAAAACACTTGAGTTTACAATAAATAATACAATTGTAACACATCGGGATTAATATATAGTCAAAGAAAATGGGGCCATTCAATATGTGACTTATGTTTCAAGCCTATTTTTTTACTTTTGTTCGACAATCAAGCTTCTACTATAATAAATATTTAAAAATGTATTCCGTCTGTGCTTTATTTTAAATAATTTAGTTATACGTAATACAAACATTCTTTTGTTCGAATCCCGAGCTTATATCTAATCAGATTGCTGCCCTTATAATAAAGCCTTTATAAAAACGCATTTTGTTCATATTTGATACTTTAGTCCTCTTGTTAACATTAAATATATTGTTACATCAAATAAGAAATAGTTTACATCATGGTTGATGAGAGGAGTTAATGTTTGGATACAATTTGGATGGTACTAATGTACTTATGAAATTATCATTTATTACAGTAAGATTTCATTAAAAGTCATTTATCCTATGTTCTTGGTTGATAAGTTTGCATTATAATGATGGTTGATAGATATTCATTCCTTTTACTAGACTTGTTATTCGTTGTTTTGGTAAAGGATGTCGTGCCGGTAGATTTGGATTTAACTGTCGTAACACCTGTCACTGTGCGACTGGTGGATGTGACCCTGACACGGGACAGTGTGACGTACCAGGGTGTCAGACAGGGTTGATGGGGTTATCATGTAGCCTCCGATGTCACTGTATATCAGGGGGAGCTTGTAACTCTTCTACAGGGGCATGTCATGGAGGCTGTCAGTCTGGGTGGAGCGGACCAAGCTGTTTTGTGGGACCAGGTGATTTTTTTTCTTGAAAACTGTTTTTTTCACTATATATTACACTGATTTGATATCAACGGTGATACACTTTGGACTTGGTTAATTCATCAAACAATCGATATTAATGGGTCATCTGTTCATCATATAATTTAAAATGCGAAAATGATATATGGATATCATTGTAACACCTTAACGTAAGAATGTTCGATTCACATATGGTACAAATAGGGATGAGAAATCAATAAAGACCATTTTGTCCTTATTTATTGCTCTGAAAGGTATCATAATTCTTATTTCATTCTTTTTGCAGTATATTGAAACTTTTATGCAGAAATATTAGAAAAATCCAACATTCAGTTTATTTTTAAATGAACAAAATCAAAATCAAAGTAAGGAAAACTGTCCATGTATAATGACGTTTTAGTTATATGGCATTTTAACCAATAAGCTCTAACGGAAATATCTACTTATTGCTGATTTGTGGTTTAAACGCCATTTCAAATATACTTTGTTTTGTGATTGTGTGTATGTGTTTTTTTTTTCCATAATTACAATCATACTCTATTTTATTTAATTTACGCACGTGACAAACTTTGCGAATGTTAATGTGATGTAAGCACTATAAGTGCCTGGTTGTTTTGGGATTTGATGTTAAGTTTGCGTTCCATTTTTTTTTTGCAATTTCACGATCTCGAAAATAGAACGAAAATTAGACACCCGCCAAATATACCTTTTACAATCGTATTCATTAGCTGATGGTGTTTTTGTCTGTTATACTTATAAAATACTACATTCAATACAAACCCATTTAATCTCCGTATTGTTAAGGGTACGTTTGCAATAGTAACTTAACATTGACGAAAGCTTTCATATTTACACTGAGCATAATTTACTTTGAAAATAATTACATATGCAATGTTATTGTCTCATCAAGTTTGTTTTTTCTATAAGAACAGTCGTAGAATGTCGTCTGGTCATTTTCTCAAATATGTGACTGTATATGTATTATATTGTACTTTATTTTCTTTCACAATCTATTCTTAAGATTCCTTTTATGCTCTCAGTTAAATGCATGCTTGCATGAAACCTTCACAAATGCTTTGTGTCTATTTAAATTCATTTTGTTACTTGAAATTATCATATTTACCACCCCTCCCCCTCCCTCACCAAAAATAGTTAGAGCAATTTAATTTCTTTCAACCATGTTTAAAACAAAACTGTATGAATTGGTACATTTTGTTGAACTGTAATTGTTTTTGCAGATGATCTTGCATACAGAAAAATAACTTTACAGAGTACAACAAACGGCGTGTTTTCGTCTGGTAAAGCTGTTGATGGTGTTATTACAGCCGATGTATCAGATGATGGAAGTTGTTCACACACCAAGCCAACAGGAAACCATCCCGAAGCCTGGTGGCAAGTCGATCTCGGACAAATCGAAAGGATACAGACAATCAACATCATTTACAGGCAACTCTGTAAGTAACAGTACTAAATATATAAGAAATCTTTAGTTCAGCGAGTCGCTGAAATTACAAATTTACGTGGACCTACATTCAACTATAAACTCAAATATTAAATAAATACTTCTATCACATAATATACTGTGTTATTAAGTAAATATCCCCATGTCATCTTTTTTTGCGTATTAACCCATGTAATATGACCCATTAGCCATGTGACTGGTTGTAATTTTCAATTGTTTCAATTGTGGCGTCACGCCTAGGACAAGTGCATGACGTTACAGAATTACGCACTAGAGTCAAAATGGCGGCCGTTTACGTTTCAAGGTTGCATGAAAATCGTCGTTTTACACGAATACATTTCACAAATCTTGATTATGTGATAAAAAGGATCTTACTTAAGCATTGAACTGTTTTTGTATGGTATTTATGATCTAGCGCGCATTATGTTGTTTGCTTGCAAAGCTGTGTCATTCGAATAGATCATAAATACCATACAAAAACAGTTCAATACTTATATTTACGTTTTCTCTGCCTCTTATGTTCTTTTTTAACTTATAATTTATATAAAAAATTAAAAATGCCCGCCTTATCAAAAGTCCACACAATTTCGTTCAATAGTTTGAACAGCGTATTGTCGCGTGCTGATTGGCAAACAAAGTAGTACTTTGAAATTTGACAAACACTTCAATTTTATTCCACAATTCAGTATCAATACAATTGCGTATGATTGTCTATAGGGTGATTCAAGTTTATCAATAGAACTCCGAGCTGAAAGTTAGATTTGAAATTGTTTCGATTTTCCCCCGGAACAAATTTCGCGCATGGACAAATACAGTGAACACCGTAACTCCGACCTTGCCCTCCACGAGGGAGTTATTTTTAGTGACCCCTGGGGAACCCCAGTGGGGACTATTAATTTTGGTTTCAGTCCCAGATTTTGACCTCTGTTAGGAGGGCTGTTGTGTATCTTGCTTCTGTCGGAATATACCAGGCGCTAATTACAAGCTCTTGGATAACTCAGATATCGATTTCCTTTTTAAACAGGAATAGCATAAAACCTAAAGGCCTTTCAAATTCCTCCCGGGAATTACATATAACCTAAAGATTTTCCGAGTATGAATCAGGCACCTTTGAGGTTCCCGAAGGGGTAAACTGTCGTATTATACATTGCAATTGACTGATTTAGATATTTTATGTCTGACCAACGACTACTGTTAATATTTGCGTATAGTGCGCACTTAGGGAAAATGAAGTGTCAAGAAAGTGGTGTACACGATACTCAAGAACAATCCAAAACCAGTCCTTGGTCGCGACCATTTCTCGTAAATTTTTCGAGGATTTTCGGAAATGTTTTCATATATGCTAACAGCTATACAACTGCTAAATTTCGTTGAATAATCCCTGATTGCATTGCCAATTTAACAATTAAGAAAAGTTGCAAGTTTAAGTCATATAATACTATAGAATCGGATAAATAAACTGTAGTAAAGAAGGCTCAACTTTTCAGGACGTTACGTTGTGAATTGATAAATACCACGTTTCGAAGAATTGCATCGGATTTATTACTCTGTGGTTAAAATGTCGTTCTTGGGTAAAATCTTGATGAACTCTTCAATCTTGTCCGTAGGAATGTGTCAAAACGACACGGGTAAAGTGGCGAAGTTAGCAAGTTTGTGTACCGCAAAGAATCGAAGTTGCATGATACTATTAACCGGCAGGAATTTACAATGACATCCATGCGAATTGAACCGATAATGATAAAAGTTTGAGTTTGAAAATTAAATATCAACGGGTTCAAAACTGCCAAATACATTCCGATCTTTTCCTTTCGAAGGAGAATTGCTGATATCACAATTGTTTGGTGTTCTTCTTTTCTTGCGAATTCGGCTGTTGGCGGTCCTCATCGGAATGACTGCCTTTAAGCGTACAGTACACATTCTGCCGATATCGATGACCGATTCAGTCGGATTTGCAGACGATCAGAAAACTACTTGGAAAAGTGTATTTCATAACAAAAAATAGTAGAAGATTTATCCGTATATAAGATTCAATCTTTTCTGAAACTTATTGTTATGAAAACAACATCGTTATATTCCAATTACTTGTTCTGCCCATGCCAGGTGACCGTGTCAGCGCGCAGATCTCCCCGTATTCGAGGTGTCGGTCAACGCTAACGTTATATTTGCTTTCCTATTAATTCCCTGTGTTGCCATGGCTAACTGAACAGCAAGTATGTATTTACACCTGGTATTTGTTTACTATTTTGATTGACAGGTGGAAATATATTCGTTGTAGCTTGGTCAATGATTTATCGGAAAATGATCATACAGAATGATGGGGTGACTTTCATGTCATTCTGACATATTTCTAGTTGGAAGTTAATTCGAACTTTTTCTCATTTTGTGAAGAATCCAGCCGTAAAATTATTTGTTCATTGTATGGGAACCTGACAACAGTCGGTAGATTCTTTAACAACCTCGTTATTTGACATGTCGTCAGAAACTGAGGAACCGTGGATGCGAGACGCGTGAAACTGATAGCGTTTGAAGTGAGTGATCTTGCGACGGAGCACAGGTTCGTTACAAATGTCTGAAATGTTTATGTGTGCTGTGACTCATATCGGTAGGTCTGTAAAATATGTGTCAGTAGGTATATAGAATATGTGTATTTCAGACATTTGTAACGAACCCCTGTTGGTCAGTGCAGTGTAACAGACGATATTTCTGATAAATTGCATGAGTGTTAAAATTGTTCTCATTGCCGGCATTGGTGATTTCAACCGATGTGCATTTTGTACGATATTGCAGACCTTGGTCTTGTTTTCGTTGTAATAAAAGTGTTTTTTATTTTATTTTTTATTTTACACATAAATTTACAATGACATTGTCAAATCTCACAATGCCCACCGTTATTTCAGCAGCCGTCATGTTTATTTATATTGGATATTGTAGTTCCGGTCAGTGTTGTATTAATACGCTAAGAATTGTGTCTCGTGATGCATGGTAATTAAAATCCCATCCACGACCCAGCTTTCAAAGAGGCTATATAGTGACAATGCCATGCGAATGTAAATATAATCATTTTCATTTCATATAAAATTTATGAAATTCGTCACTATTTTTTTTATTTTAGTTTGTCAGATGCTTGCTAAATTGAAAAATTCTTAGACTCGTTTCTTAAATTTCATAGGAAAAGGAAACTAATGTAAGATCCTATATGTTCGCTGTATTTTTAAGAATTATCAAAACCTGTGCGTGTATAATAGTGAAACATATAACGCATTAAATCTCAAATTATCTGTTCTACCATAACATATACATTTTCATAAATATGCATATATATTATACTACCTAACATGTTATGAAAATATGTCTACCTCGGTGACCGTTACACCTTTATCAAATAGATACAAATTGAACAACGCAGCTAATTTCACAAATTTTGAAATTGTTTTGTTTGATTGGCAAATTATTGTGTTGGTAAGTTTATCAATAATACGAGGTGACTAATCGGAACAAAGAAGCTGCCAAATTCACTTTCAGGTTGCCTATATCATTAAGATGTGTGTTAAATGATCAAATTAAACCTAATTAGAAAGAAGGTATCGCGAATGCAATGCAAAACTTAATAATCATTGGCATAGCAATTTTCTCTCCATAGCGATCGCCCTCAAGTGTCCAATAATATCCTACAATAACACTTCTTCAAAACCACAAACCAAACAAAATCAGTAGAACGAAATTTTCCCAACCCGGAAGGAAACCATTATTTCTTGTTGAATTAAGATCACCTAAATCAGACTGGCGCCAGAAAATGTACTTTAAGGGTGGGAGGGATCACAAATGTATATTCAATTCTACAGGACTGGACTCTGCTTTTTTTTAACTCAAACATTCTAATATCAGAAGTCGAACGTACATTGTAGTACCTACATGTAATATACTATAACAACATATGGCAAGTAATCAGTAATTATTTTGCTATACAAATAAAGACAGATCTCCAAACATATCCTAAGTTCATTTGATGACAACTGATACTTGTTTGAAAATTGTTGGTTTTTAGCTTTTAACAATTTGCAAATAATGGAAATATTGGTCACAGGATGCCTTTGTCTTCGTTCCTGACGCCTAACAGAAGTTACCCTATTTTACCGGTTAACTAGGTATCAATTTAGTCATTTTAGTGTTAGTATATTATCTTATTATTATTCAAGAAAAAATACCGTGATGAAATAACACAAGATAAGCGAAGTGTCCTACGTTACATACTTAATACCGCGTAGGCCATCGTTTGCGCCAAAAACAAAGTTGCAGCGTCCTCAGATTGAACTTGCAAACCAATGAATAAAGTGAGCGGGAATGTTTTCCTTTCCCATTCATCAGTTTGGGTCAGTTCCTGCCAATTAGACAACGTATCATTTTGACGCATCTTAACGCGTGATCGAAGAACGTTCTGAATTATATCTATGGCCGACATGTCGGGTGAGTTAGATGGACAAAACTGGATATTTTATTGCTGCTGACCTGATGCAACTTGATTCGTTGGCGTGCTATCTTGTAGCAAAATACGTGTCAGCGGCATAACGTTATTGAAATGGGTGTTCTAACGTCTTCAAAATTTCACCTTGATATACCCTATTCATATTCTTTGGCCCTATAAATCTGGCAACGTTATCAAGAAACCCCCCAAAATAGACATCAGAACGGTCCTGTTCAATGATGCAGCAGGTGTTAAAGATTTCATCCTGACATTACCTTGTTCTATGCTTCCCAGCACCACTAGCCAAGCAGGTTACTGAATCATCCTTTAAAAATAACACCGCTCCATTGATTGATTGGCTCCATTTACAAGGGTGTCGCGCATTAAATCGGATTACTTTGAAGTGGTTTCGAATATTTTCGACGGATATCACTTGCAGGAACAATGTGGTGACGAAGATACAACGGCCATATCGTGTTGTGTTCCTGAGTGGTCATTGTCATTTGCGAAAAGTCGGACGTCAACCTAGT